AACTTTAATAACGTCTAATAATTTTCTCCTAATCGTTATAAAGTGGTTTATAACTCCCTCAACATAGCGGGATGGCAGTACCATAAAGTCAGAGCTAGTATGGACATCATTTAGGTCACGGCCATGAGCCCACACTCACAGTAAGTGCACCACACAGCATATAACCACCTGTAAGAAGTCCAACAGATCAAGGATATATAATTCGTTGCGTCCCTTTTAAACTCCGGAGGCAGCACATCCTATTCTTAACAACACACCCATTTATTGTTCTCCTATCGTTCCTATCCTCATAGCCTCAACTCAATACACACGTCTCACTTGTTTTAATACATTTTCCCTCGCACCACATCTTCCCCTTAGGGCAACAATCCTCCTTCTTCGGACTGCAAATACCGTTGCACAACTTCTTATTCTTAGGGCAACACTGGGAGTGACGAGCTATGCAATCTCCGTAGCATTGTACCTTGCCTGAGGGGCAACACGCTTCACCCACCCAGATACACTTCCCACTACATTTCTTTTGCCCGTTTAAACATTTCCCTCCACAAAGCTTGTCGGAGCCAACGCATTTGCCTTTGCAAGCCTTTTGGCCTAGGCCGTTACATTTATTGCTTTTATTTTTCTTCTTAGCGTGTCCTATACATAGAGTAATATTAGGGCTATTGGCGCCTTACCTGGAGCCATCACCACCGTCATCGCCGGCGCCGAGGCCTCGTGCAACTAAATTGGACTGCTGTTGATAAACCTGAGCGGCGTTGAAAATTCCGGCTGCTAAGACCGTTACTCCGGAGGTAATGGTAAAACCACAGACGAAGGCGTTATAAAATCTCATCTTCGCATAGTCGACCAGAAAACCGAAATCTAAGAAGAATGATAGAATCAAGCCTTAATAAACAAAGTAGGTGCGAAAGTTATATACTATACTGCCTTACTAGGAGAAACGATAGCAGAGACTAGTCCGGAATTTCTTATTAGAATAAATTAGCATTACTGGAATGATATAGAAAAATAGATACCTAAGACTCTTTTAAGACGTATGCTACCATGCCCCACCCCCCTTTCGGTAACACCCACCTTTCGGTAGCGCATTAGAAAATATCCCCACCAAAAACCATCAATTTCACTTACACGGATTCCAGCCAGCTTTGAAGATATTCACAAGCCGTCACTTGGAGTAGATAGTGGATTGATTGAATTCTACTTTTCGATGGTTGAATGTTTGTACAGGGTCTGCGGCCTGTGCGTACCTTGCACGCGAAATTACCATCCAACCCCTAATCTCCTTCCGCCTCCTGACGATGATTCTTCTCGTTATTCCTCCACCACATGACCAAAATGACCTTAAAGCGGCCTCGGAGTATTTATACGGAGGATATTATGGCTAATGCGATAATTGATGTCACAAAACGGCTTGTCGCAGTACCGCGCCGCCCAAAAGTATGACATACCTCAGCAGTCTATTTCCGACAGACTCAAAGGCCAGGTAGCCCTGGCTGATCAGATCCAGCCTCGTCAACTCTTGAGTAAGTCTCAGGAAGCTCGCTTGGTTTCTTGGATCCTCCGCCAAGAGTCTCTCGGCTATGCTCCCTCCCACAGTCAGATCCGCGCATGTGTGGAGGCTCTTATAAAGCAACTGAACAACGAGCGGACAGTGGGGCGCAACTGGGTCTCTAAATTCATCAATCGCCATCCGGACATCAAGAACAAGCGTGGGAGACGTCAGGAAGCTAACCGATTTAATGCTTTTACGCCTCGGGCGGTTCACTGGTTCTTCGATATCAGGAAAAGGAGTATGGATGGATTAAACCAGAAAATACCGTGAATGTTGACGAAGGCGGTATTATGTCTGGCTTTGGTGAGTATTTGGCTTGTCTTTCATTACTTTTACTAACCAGACTCTTTTTGCCAGGTTTGGATAGTCTTGTGGTTGGGAGTGCAGACCCAAAACGGAAGGCCCTTCTGAAAGGGCCACAGTCCCGCAACTGGACCTCATTTATTGAAGCTATCACCGCGGACGGCCGTGTCCTTACCCTGGCATTATCTTTAAGGGCAAAGAGCTTCAGAAACAGTGGTTCTTGACGGAATTCGGCAAAATAGCCGACTGGCATTACATAACGTCGCCCAACGGATGGACGGACAACCATATCGCTATTGAGTGGCTTGAGAGGGTCTATTTGCCCCAGACGCGACCAGCCGATGCCTCAGATGCTAGACTGATCATATTAGATGGACATGGAAGTCATGCAACGGTGCGTTTCTTTATCCACCTCTGTAGGAATTACTGTTAACCGAGACCAGGATGCATGGATGGCCACATGCTTTTGAACAACGTTTATTGCTGTTACCTTCCTGCCCACTGCTCTCATGGCCTCCAGCCGTTAGATAACGGTGTATTCAATGCCTCCAAGGCAGCTTACCGGAAAGAACTTCAGAAATTGACCTGTTTGACCGATTCTGCGCCTGTTCATAAGGTCAATTTTATACGGCATATGCTAAAGCGCGCGAGGTTGGAATGACGGCAAAGAATATATTGTCCGGCTGGAGGGTCACTGGGAATTGGCCGATCTCACGATCCAAGGCATTGCGGCATCCAGAAATTCACGCGGACATTGTAGAGACGTCTCCAAAGTCCGCGCCATTTTTGGGTTCTGATGATACGCCAAGAAACAGCCGCCAGATTCGCGATTTCGGAAAGAACAAGACTCCTGGCACCCGGAGACGATACGCCGTGATAGCTAGAGGCTTTGAAGCCCAAGAACAGACGCTTGCCGAGCACAGCAACAGAATCGCGAAGCTAGAGGAAGAAGTGGCCCGGCTGCAGAGAGGCAAGAAGAGGAGAGCAATTCCGAACCCGAACAGACGGTTCATGACTCTCAGTGAAGCTTTGGTGGCTGAGGAAGCCATTCCCCAAATTAAAAGCCAAGAGATAGCCGTTGTGCTGAATTCTGACACAGAGGAGGAGGCGGTCTCAGAGGTGGAGACAGCTTCAGTGATTGAAGTCAAGGTGGCACCCGAAGCCCTTCCAGTCACCACCAGATCCGGGCGAATGGTAAAAAAGCGCCGGTACATATAAGAGCGTCCATTTCTCTACGGAATGATATATTTTTGTGTTTATAATGTTAAGTTCTGATCATATTTCATGTAGTTCAAATGGTAGACTTTTGGTGGAGAATTTTTCAATTGCGCTACCGAAAGGTGGGTGTTACCGAAAGGGGGGTGGGGCATGGTACCTGCTGAGTGATGTCTCTAAGTAGTGAAATTATATATTAGTTTTCATACCTAAACGTTAGTAATGTTTTAGCAGGAAGATCGCAGTTGTTCACTACTATACTAAGGGTGCGTGGTAATTATTTCATTAAAATACATAGGAACTGGTTCGTGCACGATGTTAAGTCCTGCTACTAACAGGGGTTAGACTGCGTTGAAGACTGGAGGATCTAAGGAGTTTACGCAAATGATAAGAAAAGATACACTTAGCTATTATACGAGGAACATTAGAGTTATAGGATTTAAAATATATATATATCTCCATGTAACGGCAGTTTAGGGGGAGTATTACCGTATAAGATAACGAGTAAGGGATTTCCCAGTAATCTGCGGGATCTAGTAATACGCCGGGTCACCACTATTTCGGCGGGATACCATACCATACCATTTCGGCGAAACGAACGCTGCCGGGGGCGACGAAAAACGATCTTGAATCCTTATCATTTCCTCATCCGAAAAGGTTATATTGTTGTAGGCTAGTCGTCATCATGATCCTGGTGGTGAGTGCGGGGCCCTCGGTGGGACCGCGGCCGCTTGTCGTCGCCGATAGGGGGCCGAGTCGTGAAGCGAAAGTTGCTAGATAAGTCGGCGAAGGAGCCGAATAAAAGCAGCCGATATATAATAAGAGCGACAACGAAAGGGATAATAGATAAAATTAACTAAATAACGGAATTAAGACATAAAACAATAATAATAGTTATAAAAGAATAGCGATACTTTAAAGGGTTTTAAAGCTATTAATTAAGTATCGCGCGGAGTTCTAAGGATTAAAGGAAACGCTTAAGGAGTAAAATAAGATTATCTCTAATTAGTAAGAGACGATCTAAAAGTTAAATAGAGTAGCTAAGAACCAGCAGGTAACTATCCGAGAATTAAGCTAGAATTTAAAAGACACTAAGTATCAGGTAAGCGACAACTAAAGCGAGTCTTTAAGCAACTTAAAGCTATCGCCGTAAGCGTAGCCGCTACCCCGCCGAGCACTTTCGCGCGTTCGTCGCCGCCACCCCAATGGACTAATATCTAAGCGCTCTTATCCGGCAGTACTACGGGATCTACTTCTAAGCATAAGCTTTATTGTATAATCGATACGTCGCGAGTTAAAGAATGGGATAGAGACCGAGCATAGGTAGGCGCCATTCGGCAAACCATCGAATGTAAGTTAAGGGCAAAAGAAGGCCAGGCGACCTAGAGATATATGGCAGTTATAAGAAGTGCCCGGAACGCAGAGTTTAATCCGGATCATTAATTAGCTTTCTTTATAACCTCGGAAACGGGTTAGACGAACGATAAACTTAGCAAAGAAGGGCTTATTAGTGTTTTCGACCGGTTTCACTAAAGCAAAGGCCCGTAACGGCCGGGATTATCGCCTCCTGATCACCGATGGACACTTTATTCATGTTAATATGGACTTTCTAGAGTGGTTTGATCAGCACCGGAAAATCGTTGCGGGCAAAGGACAGTAATGGATTGATCAGACTCCCCCTTGAGTTAAAAGAACTAACAGCTTTAGTCTTTCGATCCGGATGCCTGCTGCTCGTCCCCAGCGTTCACTAGCCACACATAATTTATCCACTATCAGCGGATAATACAATCTGTTCTGTGAACTTATAGCCCTCGAAAGCCTTTGATAGGAAACCTGAGATTGACATGATGCGTCTCAGGCATCAACCCTTTTGCAGTCGCATATAAAGACTTGTCCGCCGCCTCGCTCTTATCAGTTCCATCCCAGCCGACTAACGCCACGAACTGAAGTCCATCATGAGAGAAGCCGCTAGCGACGCCCGTACATCCTGGCAAAGAGTTGGCGTTCTCGACGGAGGCGCGCATTTCATTTTCAGTGACAGTACAGTTGTGGTAGGTAAGTACTTCAACAATGGCGGCATCGATAACCTTGGGCGCGAAGGGAACGAAGCAAAAGAAGCGGCTGGAGATTTCCCCTTGCAGGACAGTCTTCATTGTGGCCATTACTGTGGCATAATCCGAAGAGGCTTTCCACGCATTCGAGGCCTCAACGTTCTCCCATCCTGTCGCCTTGTTAGCACTTGAGGAGACAGACGTTCATCTAAGAGATCTGACGTACCGATGCTTAGCACAAGGCGCTGCATGTTCTCGTTGCAGGGCCCCCATCTAGTACGGAGGTATCCGTCCTGTTTCTTAAGCGTCTGGAGAAGCAGCTTCAGCTGTTCTTTCCAGTCCTCAACACCGCCCTTAACGGGAATAATGTTAAACTCGGTAACAGGCATTTTAAGAGGGTAATATCAAAGTTGAATGGTAGAGTTTAGTATAAAAGTTAAGATTAAGAAGCAGTATCAATAAGAACCCTTTCACGAGGAATAGGAGTTAGTATTTATATATTAAGGGAGACAGATATTGCTGTACCTTTAACGCCCTCGTTGGCAAGTAATCAGGAACGATTTGCGATTGAATTCCGACCGTTCCGCTATATTTGCCGGTGCAGCACGGACTCCCTAGATTGTCCCTCGGACGGCCCGCGCGTATACTTGACATCTACGTCCAAAATGTAGGAGAACTAAAGCCTTTCCCAAACCCGATTCTGTTACAGACCGGGAATGCAGGAGGTCTAAGGGCCTGAGCACTGGTTTTTTGGGCTTGTACGTATAGGAGAATCTGTACATGTAATTAGATACGATCCAGGTGCACGGGCGCCCTGGATCCTAGACGAAACACGCCACACAATAGACCTTGAACCGACCGCAGCAACACACGCATCCACCTCGCAAGGGCCGGTTTTATGTCGAGATCCAAGAGCAATATTCGGAGAAGAAACGGAACTTCTGGGTGCCGTCCGCCCACAGTGTAGAACCGACTCCAAGCGGATATACCCATCCGCTTCAAATTGCCGTGCCCTCATTCTGGGAGGGCGCGGGCGGGGGGAGGGCGCGGGAGGGGGCTGCATCTCCTAGCAGACACGTGCAGAGTGCCTACTGGGATCATGTTAACACAAGCACTTTCCGGCCATCTTTGCGTGCTTCTTTATGAAGACTTCTATTCTAAGTCTCTTTCAAGCAGACACAGTACTTCGCGCAGTTGAACGTTAGAACTTTGGAAAGTAGGCACGCATAAAGACTAGGCATGCGATATAACGAAAACGAAGGCCTTGTCAGCATCTTCACTGTTCGCAGACCGACTTAAATGATTCATGCTCGTTCGGGTATGACTTGTTTGTTAGCCTCCAACATTCGCCCTGCTAGAGGTGCCGCACAAGGAACGACTGCTCACTGAACCTCCCGGGATTTTTCCTTCCCCGCCACTATATGATAATGATAAGCAAATGAAACTACTTCAGAAGCTAGAAACTAAGCTTTGCTCCCTTTATCGGCCTTTGCTTTGCCCTTTCTCGGCCTTCTCTTTCTCTTTGTTTTGCCTTGGGATGCACCTTCGCCTGCCTCTACCTGCGTGGCCTCTTCTTTATGGGATGCGGCGTTTTCGTAGTATTCGTAGTACTCGTCGCCCAGATAATAAGGAAGAGGGGTTTGGTTGGCATCGTATAGAATCACAGGGGCAGCTGAACTGTCGAACTCGAACTCTTCGGGATGGAGAAGTCGCCACGGCAAGCCATTCTCATCCAGAGTAATATAAAGATGGCCTTCAAAGTCAAAATCTTCACTTAAGCTCCCTCCTGGTTCCACGTCCGCAAAGACGGTAATATGCATATCGTCGCGAACGTCCGCGCCACCAAGAGACGTGGTATCGTGGGCAAGACTCCTGCGTTGTTGGATTTAGCGTTAATTGTTTCCTCAAACACAGGCGTCGATAACTATAAGCAATAAACAATAACATAACTGACATACCAAACCCCCATTCCTGTTGTCTTGGCTGCGTCGCGAATCATTTGCTCATACATCTCTCCCACCCCTTTCCTCGGGCGGCCGATGTACCAAGCAATCTTCAAGTGTCAGTTCTTAGGGTTCCCTTAGAGAAGGCGCGGTGTAGAACTCACCGAGGGATCTTCGGCGGTCCCTGCGCCGGCCGTTGTCACTATTGAGGTATATGTTCCGCGGGATCGTGAGCTTCTAGATTTAGAGGCTTTCTGTTTTCCCTTATCTTTGCGCTTCTTCCCGTCTTTACTTCCACGTTCACTGCTGCGAGAATTGCTCATGATTTATAGATGCTTATTTCTTCAAATATATCGCAGTCCTTGATAGGATCCGACTAGAGATACGGAGACAAAATGACAGCTTACGGGCTAGGAAGGCTTCTTTCTATACTATTCAGCCAAAGACGACTAAATTCAGGCAGGCTTCTCCGCTTATGACTCATAAGTAGTGCATGGAGCTCCTATCTGCTGAGGAACACTTGATGCTAGACGCCTGTTAACGCTGGACGGCATGTGAAGCACACTAATGTACTGCAGCATGTTTGGTCATGCATGAATGTGTTCACGCGACCTCAGCTAAGCCCGCCCTGGATTCGTGAAGAGCCTCACACATGGGAGACCATCCGCGGCACTTCCTGAGACATCAGTGCAACGTGAGCATTTTGCGCTGGAAGCGAGCATCGGAGCGCTTGGAACCCTTGGTACTTGAACCGAAGGTATTGTAAGCCTGGTCAATCATCATACTTCGATATAGATACATCTCAGTATTTAATTGGGGCCTTCATTAAATCATCTTCCCACCGCATGGCGACTGATGGTACCTAATTACATTCATCTCGGACGCGGAGACACGGGAAGCAGTCCCTACGTGCAAACGGCTGGTGCAAACGGCTGGCTATTACGAATGCTTTCGTCAGTGGCCCACCACCTCACGAAAGGGAATGGATGGTGCTTATTTTAACGAATCGTATAAACTAGAAGTAATTCCTATCATCTCTCAGCTGAGAGATCTGCAGGTAAAAGCCTAGATTTATTATGCAATTTGGATTTTTCAGGTGGTCGGATAGACCGAGTATTGTGGCTTCGACTAACGCAACCGTAGTGAACTAGGTTGCACACAAGGAAATGGCTTAGCATATGGTACGCCGAGTACATATTGAAGGGAAGTGGTTATTTGGGGTGCTATTTCATCGTCAAGTCTCAGTTTCGCTTCAATAATATCCAAAAAAATAATTTTAAGATAGTGTAGGAGGTACCGCTTAATGGCATCTTACCCAGAGGTGACGCGATTCGGAAAACGTTCAAGTGCACCGGCTATCTGCTAAACTGCGTCATGCAGGCACGGCTGCGTTGAAAAGGCCTTGAAAGGTGAGAAGCAGTCAATTCTAGCAGTTTAGTTCTATATACCTGGAGCTCAGATAATATCGGTTTCGTCGACTTTGTCCATATAGCACTCCAAGACTCGCTTTGCTTGCAAAACCTTCAATTCAGATAATAAATCAAGGTTTGATCCTCCTATCGGTATTGTGTGTGAAACCAAGCATGCTTTAACACGTCCTGCGCGCCGAGCCGTTCTTCCGGCCGGTATCTCAACAGTTTCTCCAGCAAATCCGCCAGGGTTGCGGCCTCGGCTTCTGAAATAAGCTGGAACCGTGGATGGGCGCATTTCTCCCCGGCACAGTCGTGGCAACTGGCGAGTTTCTCTTGAATGGAGCGGGCATGTTGCACTTGCGGTTCGACATATATATCTTCATTTTCGGGGGAGGCCGGATTAGATGGACTCGTGCAGGTGTCAGAGCTGTCGTCCGATTCGTAGTACTCTGCCCACGGCTCTGGAGGTTCCCCCAGGAGACAGGCAATCTCATCCACATAATCCTCCTTGCGGAGGCCGGCCAGCTGAAACACGTCAAATAATCGCCGACCGAGCCGTACTTCGTATAGGGTACAGCCCAGAGACCAAAGATCCATGGCCGTGTTGCCTAGACTATCGATAACGACTTCTGGTGCCGCGTAGTTGGCCGGAATGCCAAAGGCGGCAGGCGGCGGCTGCTGAGACGTATCGAATGATTGGCCAAAGTCGATAAGCCGTGAGCGTGATGATATGGCCGAGGGGTTAACATTGGAAAAGTCAGGCGGATAGACGAGATATTTAGGAGCGTAAGGTATCTCCGGGGTGGGATGAGAGTCCTTGCGAACGTGGACGTCTGTTATTTCTGGCTCCCCGAGAAGTGACATCACCTGCTCCTCGCTTAGGCCATCCAACCCTTGTAGCTCTAGAAGAATATTTGAAGGTCGGAGATCTGCGAAATATATTTAGTTTCTAGAGTATAGAGGCGCGAATTTATACCTGGCATACCTCCGTGGCAAATGCCTCGGCTATGAAGTGCGGCTAAAGCCCCGACCGCCTGTCGGGACACCTCTTGGGCAATATGCATCGCACTCTCTTCCCCGTCGAATATATCGACGGCGTCCCGTATCACCGGCCCAAGCACGGGGAAAACAAGACAGATATGTGTTCCGTTCGGGCTATGGCTCATAAACTGCCCTAGAGGGAGACAAAGGCGCTGCCCGAAGGGGACCTTGTCTATGCTTTGTCTTTGAAGGTCGGCAGCTAGCAGGAGCTCACGGCTCTTATTTTCAGTCTGGCTGCCGACAAGAATCTTAACGGCGACGTACGACGGCGTAACAACATGTTGGTCCCGGCAGAGCCATACGGTCGCGTACCCGCCATGGCCGAGCTTATGAATAACGCGGTACTGACCGCCGTGAAGCTCGTCTTGCAGATGGACGGGGTGGTATCCACCAGGGCGATAGCCATGAAGTTTCTCCAGGTCGTCGTCCACTCCGCGAACATAGAGCCTCCTCCATAGCTGATCAGCGGCATGGGGTAAGTCTGGGCCGAATCGTGGCGGGCCAGTTACCCTAATAGGGGGTTTCTTTGGGCTCATCTAGCACCTCGAAACTGACACATAGGTGTGTCTTTCTTGAAAATTTTTGTGTGTTGAGGATCGAGAGGGAAGTGGTTATCGCAAGCAGAGCCCGCAAAGGCGAACGTTGGCCTCTCCAAGTCACGTGACCGAGCCTGGCGGACTAGCATCCCGCCACGAATCATCGTCAACTTCTTCGACGCCTTCACACCCACTTCCTCCTCCCATCACCTCCTCTCCCACATCTCGTCCTCGCCACCACCCAAGATGCCTCGCAACCGCTCCGCCGCCCGTCCCGCCCCCTCGCGGCCGATGGCCCCCGCCCGCGCCCCCCAGCCGCAGCAGCAGCGGCCCGCGACCACGATGGCTGCTCCCTCGCAGCAGCACGCTCCTCAGCAGATGGCCCCGCCGGCGGCCGCGCAGTCCCAAGGCCCCGGCCTATTTGGGCAGATGGCCAGCACTGCTGCGTAGGTTTTCTCCCCGATGCTTTGCCCTCATTTTTACTTGGCTTTCGTTTGTGCGCTGCTCTCGCGGACGGCTGTGAGAATCACGCACGCCAACTTGGAACCCCCTTCGCCAGCATAGCGACTCCCTCCTTATCTCAGACGCAATCCGCTACTTGCCATGAGAAAAAATTACCCCAGGCTGACTCCGACCCCTCAGCGGTGTCGCCATCGGCTCTTCCGTCGGCCACGCCATCGGCGGCCTCTTCTCTGGCGGCTCCTCGGCCCCCGAGGCCGCGCCTCAACAAGCCGTCCAGACGCAGGCCCAGAATACGCAGCAGCACGAGTTTGGTAACAACTGCCAGTCGGCCGCGCTGCAGTTCAACAAGTGCATGGATGAGCAGGGCGGTAACATGCAGGTCTGCAACTGGTACCTCGAGCAGCTCAAGGCCTGCCAGGCCGCCGCCAGCCAGTACTAAGGGCTGGAGGGGGGTTATCAACTGACGAGCAATGTGCCAGAGGTACTTTGTATAGAATCGATTTGAGGGGGGAAATGGCACGAATGAAAGACACTCTGACTGCGAGGTGTTGGCAAGGAGCGAGTCTTCCATGGAGCATGGTGGAACACGCATGCAGTTGGGCTACCCGAGCCGCGTTCTTGAATTGTACAATACAGCATAGCAGTCCCGCTCTTCGTCAATCATCCTTGGCGCCGACTCCCGTCTCTCTATGCCTCGTCCTCATCGGGTCGCGGCTCAAAGTTCAACTGTGATGGGCATGTTAGTTGACCCTGGGCCAGGCGTCTCTCCGCTCGTCCGTGCACTCACCGAGTTGCCGTTGTAGAGCTGGTGATCCCTACGGGCATCCGTTGGATTGTCGAACCCCCTGATCCGGCGCTCGTCAGCCCGGCCCGCCTCCCTCGCCGAGCTTTCCGGGGCCGTCGCCACAGCCGCCCTCCCTCTGCTGCCGGGACCGAGGCCAGCCAGCCCCATGAGCCAGGTGAACCAGGCCAAGATGGCGGCGACGGCAGCTGACAAAAAGGTCTGCGGGCCGGCAGCCTCGTACGCCGACGCGTAGCTGTGGACAGGGACGAGGACCAGGGTCGACGACGGGGCCAGGCCCAGCTCGCCCAGCGTCTTGCCCTCCTCCTCGGTCTCGTCGATGGCGCGGTTGGGCCTGGGCGTGAGCAGCTGACGAAAGGTGTACGGCGCCGCGCCATCGGTTCTATTGGCGTCGACCCAGGCGCGCACCTCGCCAAACGACGCCGCCGTGCGAAACCGCGACCGCACCGTCGACCCGTCAAACAGACGCACCTGCAGCGAGGCCATGTCTCCAACCCGCGTTGTCGACGGCATCTTCGTCTCGGGCGCGCTCACCAGCGACGCCGCTACGTCGCCCGTCTGGAGCGAGTCAACCCGCCGCTGCTCGCGCTCGGCCGCGCGCTGGCGCCGCTCCGCGCGGTCGTCCTCGATGCGCTTGAGGATGCGCCGGCGCTCGTCCGTCTCTTGCTGCTTCTTCCTACGCACCAGCTCGGCTTGCCGGTGCGTACGCGCCGCGTCCGTGTCGCGCCCGGCGTCGGCGTCGGCCTTGGCTTTTTCCTGGGCCTTAGCCCGCTCTTCCTTGGCCTGGCGCTCGCCCTCTTCCTTCTTGGCCTGGAGCCGGGCTGCCCTCTCGGCCAGGACACGGCTGACACTCTCGGACCTCTCGGCCTCCGGGGAGGAGGGAAGCGAGGATTCCGCTTGTTGGGGGGTGGCGGCGGCAGTCTGCTCGCTAGCTTGTCGAGGCGGCGCGTTGAAAGCGCTTTGCACGCGGCGGATAAATTCGTCCTTGCCAGTCCCCGGAGCAATGTACTCTTTCAGCTCGCCGTGCTTCATGATGACGATGGTGGGGGTCTGCGGCAAGGGAAAGATCTGGGCAAGATAGCCTGCCGAGTCGGAGCCAGCCTCGAGGCGCAAGGCGACAGCTTGTCCCAGCAGCAGTTCCTTCAACTACCCCCCGTGAAAGAAAGAAGAATGAGAGTCAGCATTAGAACCGGCAGGAGACGCAGGCGGGGCACGTACAGAGCTGTCCTGAAGGAAATCATCTTCCCACGTCCGGCTCTCTTCGTTGTCGTCTGGACAGCAAACAATTGTCAGCGATGCCAGCGAACGAGCAGCATGTGATGGCGGCGGCGGCGATGACTTGCTCGTGACGAAGCAAAAGACCATCTTCTGCTGCCCCACAGCCGTGGAGATTCCCTCCTGCAGCGAGCCTTTGTAGAACATGGCGAGTGCGGGACGAGATGTGGTCGATCTCGCGGTAGAATTTCACCCGGGGGTCCGTCCGTTGACGCTCAAGTTGCGCCGTTGTGCGTCAAAATCTCGATCCAGGGTCGTTGGGACCTCGCATTACCAGACGAACACACAAGAGATAATGATGGGCTTGAGTTGGGGGGATGCAAGGCCATGAGCGCCGGCCAGTGAAAACAGAGCGGCGACATCTGTATCCTCGACTCTGGAGAGCTACGCCCCAGCTTGCTCAGCACCGCCTCATCCGGCAGGCGGTCAAGCCACAGGTCCCGCCATAATCGGCAGCGGACATGGCCGGGGAAGCTCTCTTGTCATCGACTTTATTCGGGCACATGCAGCCAATCTCATCACCACCAGAGCCATTGGCCAATTCTAGTTCCACCAACTGGCTCAGCTATACGTCCAGCCTCGACCAAGAAACCGAAGGCTTCAAATATCCGGGGGGCAATGGCTCCCTCGCGCCAATGGCTGCGCAGCCTCCGGGCAACAAGCATCCACCCTTGTCCCAGGAGCCTCACCCTGTCCAGAGCAGCAAAAGCGTCGCTCCCCCGTGGGCCCCGGGCAAACCTGTCGACGTCTCGGCCCCGCGCAAACAAGCAGCCCGTAGACGACCCCGAGTTCGTCTCCATACTCGACGCGCCTCCCCAGATCGTCCGCGCCGGCCGCAGACACGGCCCAGGAATCATCCTGCTCGGTCCGTCGACGCCGCTCCCTCTCGCCTATCAAGCGCCCCAACACTTGCTCTGCTGACGCCGGTTGTTTCCATCGCAGCCCTCATCCCCATCACCGCCTTCGCCCTCGGCTCGTGGCAAGTCCAGCGCCTCGGCTGGAAGACAGAGTTGGTCGCAAAGCTCGAGAACCGCCTCGTCCGTGACCCCCTTCCCCTCCCGCCCCGCGTCGATCCGGCCGTTATTCACGACTTCAACTACCGCCGCGTCTTGGCCACCGGTCGCTTTCGACACGACCAGGAGATGCTTATTGGACCGCGCATGCGCGACGGTCAGGACGGCTACATGGTCGTGACGCCGCTGGAGCGCGACGGCGCGTCCACCATCCTGGTCAACCGCGGTTGGATCAACAAGGCACATCGCAACCAGAGTACGCGCCCGGATTCGCTGCCGCGGGGCCAGGTTACCGTTGAGGGGCTTTTACGCGAGCCGTGGAAGAAGAACATGTTTACGCCGCACAACAGGCCCGAAAAGGGCGAGTTTTATTTTCCCGACGTGGAGCAGATGGCTGCTCTGACTGGCAGTCAACCTGTCTGGGTCGAAGCCACCATGGGTATCTTTCTCCTCGCTCCCTCCAACGCCCTTGACATGCCCCAGTTTCGTATGTGGAGCTGACAGAATGACAGAGCCCGAGTTCATGAGAATGATGGACTATGCAGCCCGCGGCATTCCCTTTGGACGAGCCGCCGAGGTGAATCTGAGGAACAACCATGCACAGTACATCTTCACATGGTGCGTTTTTTGGCCCTTTCCCCGTCTTCTCTCCTTGCCTTGAGGCATTCAGCTCACATCGTCAAGGTATGGCCTGTGCTTGGCCACGTCCATCATGCTGTACATGGTCGTCAAGAAGCCTGCCTCGGGCATCGTCCGCCGCGTGCAGGCTAGCAAAAGTAGCTAGAGACAGAAGTGCACATCATCACGTCACCTCGGTTCCATGCTCGTCGTCGTCGCCGCTATGCGGGCGCTTGCCACGGCGTTTCCTAGTGGGCTGAGGCACGGGCATTCTCAGGTCCTGAAGCAGTTCTCTCGACAGATGTCTCTGCGCGAGCGAGAACATTGTAGCATCGGACCCGACTTGGCGTTGCCTGTACGATTATTAGAGCCTTGAAAGCGCAGAGGCCGCGGAGAAACCGACCTGCGCATCAGAGTGACGACATCACTCTCCTCGACTGTCTTGCGCTTCGCATGCTTGGCGTAGGCCCCAAGATCGTCACCAAGCTGTTCGAAAAACCAGTCCGACGCCTGTGTCAGGGCCGCCAGGGTATCGGCCGAGATGCGCGGGTTGCTGAGACCAGAGGAGTTGAGTGCCGTTTGCGCAACCTTTTTGACAAAAGAGGGCGGCAGGGGTGGATACTCGACACCGTGCTTCGATATTCTCTTTTGGCGTTTACGCGCTCTGGGAGCTGGCCCAGCTGGTTCAGAGGTCCTATCTTGGACTAGGGAGACGTCAAGGGCGTCGTCGTCCGAGTCTGCCATGCCGGCGTCTGGAGCTAGCGATACGTCGGGCAGTCCGTCGGCACCTTCTGCTGCTGCTGCTTCGGCGAGGGAGTGGTCTACCACGGGAGAGCCTGGATCCGGTCCCGCAGAGGGCTCGGAAAGTAGAAACGTCGTTTGGTCATCCAGACCGGCCGGCAGCTGCAAGCCAAAGTCGCTGTCGCGTCCCATTGTCGTGCGTCGTGCTGGGTCTGCGTCGATGCTAGAGTGCCGTGTTAGAAGTAGGTGATAGGAAAGCCACAGTTGGTGCCCCGCTTACCGGTTCAGTGTCAAATCGCCCGCGTCGGCTTGGAGATGCTCGAGAAAGCCTGGGAAGAAATCTGAGTGCCGGGGGGCGTCGAGTGTTGGGTCGTTGTTGATTTGGTCGAAGAAGTCGCTGATTCTGTCATCGCCGAAGCTGCCACGAGACAGCCTGAGCCCGGGTTGCTCACTCAAAGCCCGTCGGGGCAGCTCAATCGATTGCAGTGTATAGTTTTCCTCCTCAAGACCAGACGAGCGCGGGGGCTGCAGGTCGGAATCTTGGTCGTCCTGGTCGAGGGGCAGAGAGAGGCGTGGTCTATCGATGGACAACTCGTCGTCGTCGTCTTCCTCTTCGGGGATTGGCGCAATGCTCGAGGGCTGATCAAGAGGGGATGAGGACGTGGCAACAGGCCTGCTCTTGGTGGCCAGAGCCCTACTCAAATTGCGCAGAACGCCCATAGGAGTCTCGCGCTGTTCCATCAAACTGCGTCGGCGATTTTTGCCGGGGGTGAACAAGGCATTGCGCCGCTGGTTGAGGGCCAGGCGGGCGGCTTTGGCATGAGGCGTCGGGGCGTTGTTGTTGATTCGACGACCGCCGGAGGCCGAGGTGCCGCGACGGATCGAGGCAAGGAGGTTTCGCGAGGCGCTGCGATCGAGGGGTGTACGGAGTGAAGGGCGAGAGGAAGGCGGCTCGTCGCTCAAGGCGCGACGGGAAGGAGTGAGGGTGGCCGGGGCAGTGGGCGAAGCAGCAGCAGCGGCTCGTCCATGTTTAGCCTTGGTGTTTGCTCCTGGTGTCTTGGGAGTGGACGCCATGCCGGCAGTCGCTCAAGGCGGTCGTCGGCTGCGCGTACGTCGGCTGCAGGGGGTGGGCGAGGACGGGGGTTGCGCTGAGGAGGAAGCGAAGGGGTCCAGACGCGAGGCGACGTGATGGTTGTTATCGAGCATCTGGGCGGCCGCAATGCCTCGGTCGAGATATCTTGGTCGCAGGAAAACAAACAGAGTAGAGCTGTGAGACAGGGCAATAACTAAAGGAGGTCTGACGTATCAGATGCAGGACGGAGAATTGAGGGTTGCTGGCCGTTGTTGTCGCAGCTGACGAGCGACGTTGGCGCACGCGAGCGAGAGGTGTTGGGCGGATGCATGGGTGCGTGTGCACGGCACAAACAGTACAGTGTTCATGGCACATATTGCACAGTGTGCACTGTGCCGATACCTTTTGTTCTTGAATAGGCGGAGCGGGGCGAGAAGCGGAGTCGGCAGAGAAGTGGATTCTCACCCGAACCTCAAGATGCGGACTACATACTGTGCTGGACGAGAGACAGAGGGCACGACAGCCCGTGCCTTTGCTTGCCTACACGTCAGGCGGACTGTCAGGCACCGCAAGGCGCACGTGGTGTTGCACAGACGGCTTGTTTGTGCAAAGCAAGATGCGCTGCAGCTTGAGCGAATTCCGGCTCGGGGAGACATGGCCTGCATCTCGTCACGCCACAGAGCACATCGCGGCCCTGAAGAAGCTGCCGGCACAGTGCTTCTCCCATGCACTCGGTTGGGACAAACATTCTCCTCAGTCCCCTTTGGGCGCCTGGGCCTTGCGGTGTCTCGTGCGTCGGCTTCAGCCTCACCCTGCAGCTTCATGCGATTCCCCCCTACGTACAGTCTTCAACACTTGCTGACCGCTCGAGACAGACACATCCAAGCATCGACGAGAAGCTGCTTCCTCCTCTTTGGTCGGGCTGCAGTAGCCGTTTAGTGAGCAGGCCATGTCCATGCCAAATCCCTCCCGCGCTTGTTGGTGCAGCCATGCGGCACCGGCAAGACAGGACTCACCAACACCAGCCGGGGTCGACTGATGCAGCATGGCGCGCCGAGCTCCATGGGGGCCAAATCTCGTACACGGCATGCCGCCTCGAGTCGAGCGAGCAAGCAAACACGCACTAGCATACATCTGTACACTGTGACGCTCGCACACTCTCCCTCCCTCAAAGGGGCACCGCACACGACGGCCACGGCGCCGCTCCGCCGCCCAAGACACTGTGAGCGGTGCCGCCATGGATCATGGGCGATGATGCCCTCGGCGGGAGCTCGCATGGCACCCATGGCCGGCTTCGTTTTGCAGTCTGTGTCACCCCGTAGACGCACCTGAGCGCAGGGTTGGCATTGTCAAGCCAGAACATCATCACGCTGCCCTTGTTTATGTTGTGTGCGTCAACTCGCCGTGAGTTAGTTCGGCACGCCATTGCTGCCATTTCTGCGTATGTTGGCGGACCGCGTGCCTCTTTTGGAGAATATTGCATCTCTTGTTAACTAGACTCTTGCCCTTTCTTCTCCAGCCTATGCTCCCACTTCCTCGGCTACTGTCCATCTCTCTCTTTTTGCCTGCACCGCCTTCTCCTTTTCTCCTCTCCCGTTCCCTGAACTTGCCCTGCCCCTCCTCCGTCCCACCAGCGGCAGCGAACGGGAAAAGACTGAAGAAACCACTCGAAGCCTCCAATTTGCCGCCATCGCCAGCATGTGCTTTACCACCGACCAGTTCCCGGAGCAGGCTTCCGACCTTCTCCTCGTCAACAAAATCAACCACTCCCTCGGCTTGGAGAAGGAGCGTCTCTACGTGGGCCTCTATGTCCGCGGCAGCGCCCCAAAAATGCCCCGAGGAGAAGACGAGTCAGCCTGCCCCCCCGGTGTTTTCCCACAGCGCACGCAACGAGCAGCTTTCAGCTAACAAGGATGCCAAAAATCAACCACAGGTACCACTGGGCCTTTCTTGCCGGCCCCAAGCAGCATCCCAAATCTGGAAGCAGGCACATCATGTACCACGCAAAGGAAAGGTTGGTCATGTCGGGCAACCCGCCGCAGCTCAGGCCGGAATGGCAGTACGTCAACGACTCGGACCGAGCAGCCATGCTCCTCGTCCGCATCGTCGTGGGCAAAATCATGGATCGCGACCACCTCGAGCAAATCTTGCGCAATGTCCCGCTGCGAACAGACGACCCGGACTGGAACTGCGTGCTCTGGATGGAGGATGCTTTCCAAAGGGTCTTGGACGACGGCCAGGCCCTTGCCTCGAGTGTCAGGGATTGGGAATCTGTCCGTTGCAAGGCCATGTGGTACGTCAGTCACAAGAAAGCGGCTCACCGGTTTGACGGCAAAGACAGCAACATTGTCTTGGACCCCATGAAACCGGCGACGTGGGACATGCTCCGAAACATGGAGGTGACACCATAGTCACCTTTTGGTCTCCGGCGAGGCGAGCAAAACTCGCTCCATGTCCTCGCTTCCCGGGGACTCGCTAGGCAGGCAATTGACCTTGATGGGCCGTCGAGCGCCTGCAGCTCGCGAGACAGTGTTCGGCAGTTGAGAAGAGATGGGCAAGCAAGCTGGGCCGAGCCTGGCTCCCGCTGACGTTGACCGAAGCCTGTGTGGCCATCGTCTCCGGCCGATTATGTACCGCTGTGCCTTGCTTACCGCCAAGGCTAGCTGCCAGCCTCTCGCGCAGCACAACAGGCGGCCCAGTCGACACGCCTTCTCCGTCTCTGGCAGTTGTGGCGCGTTTTTTGTGCCCAACCCCGGGCCCATGTACCTGTCCGTCGGTTCGCTGCATGAGAGGATGCAGCTTGTCATTGGCGCCCCTGAGTCCTGAGCAAGGCTGCGAGGGTGTGCTGTACCTAGTCCCAACTGTCCATTTTGAGTCGATTCTGCAACCCCTCCAAAACTAGGTTCGAGTCGGACAGCAGGCCCAGATGGAAGAAGAAGGCGAAACGCGTCGGCTCGTACGACAGCTTGGAGTGCCCAGATGTTCTCATGCGGTGCTTGCATCTTGATAACACGCGATGCCGCCCATGGCTCGAGCCGAGCGCCCCGGGCTGTCCGCATATGCGCCTTCTAGGGAATATGGCAAGGTCAAGGGGGTCGTTGTCTGCTCGCTATGGGTGTACTTTGGCCATCTACCCCTTGCAAGCTTTACTGAGGAAGAGCGGACCTCGTATCCATAAATAGTTCGCCTACCGGATTTGCGTTCTTATATGATATCGGCGCCGCCGAGGTTGAAGGTTTCTCATCAGTGCTTATACTTTGTACCAAGAATAATCTGTCGTTTTGGTTCTGTGCTTGTAACACCAAAGCCCTTTCTCCTTTCTAGACGAAGTACATGGACTACGAATGTCGAAAATTCGAGCGTATATTGTGGCGCTACCCGACCCCTGACGGTCAAGGTATGGATATGCGAGACAACAGCGGTTGTTTCCGAAGTGCCTTGCGAGCTATTTCCTACAGGACGAGGACTACGTTCAGAAAACCAGGACCCGAAGTATCTGATGAGTTACCGAGAGCGAGGCGAATCGCCATCGGCAGGATGCATTCTAAAACGACCAGGTAGCATCATTCGACACGACTTTGCAGCACATACTCAGTAAGCGTTCATTCTCGCAGAGCACAGGCGCCGGGGGAGGACCAAACTATCCATGCTGGTTCCCGTTGAGACAAGGCCGTTGGGCTTCTCTGAAAGCTCCGAACGCTGAAGCTGTTCACGATGGTGTGTCGGCAGCTTCTCCAGGGTGCCGTCACCATGATTGACCGGGTCGGAGCAAGCTCACTGACCTGGCTCTTGGTCATGAGGCCCCTCTCGCAGGCCATTGTCCCGCTCCAGTCGACATACTACGTTACGTGATGAGCATGGCGTGCGTTCTTTGGCGCTCGATTTCCGTGGATAAGCGCTGGTCGAGCAAGGACGTGTGATTCGGGATGATATCACAACAGTCGGGGCACTGGAACGACACAGGCCGTACGTTACATGATCCAAGCCCTGGACCCCATGTTCAGGCAGAGGCAGCTCGTTGCAACAGCAGACATTTGACGGCGCAGGGCGGCCGAGGTCGAGTGGGCTGACAGCAGCGGAGGAGAGGGTTAGGCGCACAGAGGCCACCGCTTAGGCTTCGGATTGGCGCCGTGATTCGGCCGCTGAGGGCGCTTGGTGCGGGCCGAGGAGGACGAGTGCTTGGCCGCTGCGAGGAGGCGAGGTAAGGGCGTGGATGAGTTTTGCGTGCGGCCCGCTCGAACGGCCCTGTATTCCCCTTCTGTCAGGATCATGAGATTGGTGCTGTTGGACGGCGTTGATAGCTCGACGGCTAACGGTAGGTGGCATGTGTTCTATTCTCTCGGCGCCGAATGGTGCTTGAGGCCCGTCGGTAGGGAAAAGTAGATCACTTGCATATGTGGTGAGGCGGCGCGTTCGCCACGTGGCAGTCGTCTGGTTCGTTTCAGAAGCCCAGAGAGGAAGAAAGTGCGTCAAAGTCAGTGGCCGCCACGCACGCCACGCCCCTCTGGCAGGCCCTCTTGCAGGCCCTCTTGCAGGCTCTCTTGCAGGCTCTCTTGCAGGCCCTCTTGCAGGGGACTTTGCAGGCCAAGGGCTCTCTGTAGGCTCGACGGGATTTGGACATGACCAGCAGCAGATGGCCATTTCCGGGCCGATGGAGTCGCATCATCGCCACCGGTCGCCGAGTTGGCTGGTTCAATCGACGCGGAACAGACTAGCGGGGCGCCGAGGTGGTCAACCGTGATGAGAGAGGCGTCAAATCGACGGTTGGGGTGTCGGAGCGCCCGGTCCGAGCAGACGAGCTGAGGATGCTGCTTCGTCAGAGTTGACAGAAGGCAAAAGCGGACTGAAGAGGGATAGATGCGACGGCTACCTGATTGGCCGAAAGTCAGTAGGAAGTAGGAAGGGGCAACCGTCCGTCAAGCTTGGCTCTTTTGCAGCATCACAGCTCCAAGGGCCCAATCGAACCACGTCTGTCGTGGCGAAACTGGCGGCTGTGGACGGCCCGTTCTCGCGGCGACTCTGCGCCTTGCTTATAAGCCCGCGCATGGCTCGCCGTGGATGCGAAACGGAAGCCCGAGGCGCCCTCGTCGTCTCTTCTTCGGCCCCCCGTGAAGACAGCCCGAATCGACGCGCAACAAGAGACGGACAAGGCAGGCGACGATTCTGTGAGCAGCGAACAGAAATGCGAAGGCGCAAATACGCCATCCAAAGCCTACACGAGCGCTCGCCTCTTAAGCTACTCAATCTCTCCATCCCTTTGTTCCCGACTGGCTTGAACCAAGATCGACCCAACCCCAGCCAGGACCATGGCCGCAAAATCTCGCGAGCCACCGTCTGGCGCTTCTACCACCACCAGCAAGAGGCGCGCGCGACTTGCTTCCGCCATGGACGACTTGTTCGGCGACGCGGCGGTCGAGGACACGGCACAGGCAAAGCCAGCCGGTTTTATGGAATGTGCTGATCTGCCCGACCCGGGTGCTTGAAACGCGGCACGGTAGCGAGTCCATGTTCTAGGTTCGCGTTCTTGACTGTGCGCCACGGCTCTCAGACTGGTGGCCCAGAACTGCTGCTTCGTACTGCGCGAGGCGCGGCGATGATGCCGGCTGGCAGTCGACGAAGAGGAGCGAACACCATGGACCCCTACGGCGCCAACTCGTGGCATTCGGCGGCCGGAATGCAAAAGAGGGCCCGTGCCATCGACTTGTTTCAACTTTTTGTCGTGCTGCGTCTCGCCCATTGTCTTTGTCATAACCCAATTCTCTCATTCCGGGGGCGTCGCTTTTGTCTCGCTCCTTGCCGTCTCTTCTTGTCTCGACTCACTAGGGACAAAAGGGGGGAGAAGTGGTTTTAATCCGACCACCTCCGCACCAGCACGCCGGAAACATGGACTCCATGCTAAACCTACCCACCCAACCCTCCCTTTTTTTGTCTTCCTCGCTCTGCCCCTTGTTTGGGACCTCTGGCCCAGGCTTTTTCCCCTTGTCCCGCTCGTTCCCAAAGCTGCTTTGTTTCGGCTTTTGCTGACTCGCTCCACCGGCGGCCTTGTCATGTTTCTTTTCTCTTCCTCGTCCATCGGGTTGCCCATGTGTGTCGTCAAAGAAGGGCGGCCGTAGATATCACTAAGCGCACAGATAAATCGCCTTCCATTATCACCATGTCTAGCACCGGCGGGTAAAAAAAAAAAAGGTCACCGGGCGACGCCCCATCCGCCAGCTAGCGTCTGGTCCGCTCAGCTCTCCCGGCGCATCAAAGTGCCGCCGGAAACAAGTAGCGGCACAAGGCCACTCGGGCTCGGACACCTGGCCCAGCCCGCCGTAGATTACCCACCCGCCGCGCAGCCGCCAACGCCCTTATCATCCGCCGCGCTTCCCAAAGTAGACGGGTCTCCACGCCACGTCCCCGGTACCCTCAGCGCCTGTTCAGCGGACCGGCCAGCCCCGACCAGGCCAGCACCTCCTGCGGCTCTTTAGCACCTGTTTCCGACCTTTAATGCGGCCTTGAAACCCACTCCACGCAACACCACCTTGGACCACCGCCTCCCTCTGCACCTCCTGGCCCCTCGTCATCGTCGTCGTCGCTGGCTGGTCCATCTTCGTCTTCCAGAATCCCATCACCTGCTCCCACGCTCAACTCATATCTTGCCCTGTTCTCTCCTCTTCCTCTGCCTCGGCCGCTTCCCCAACCCCCTCCTCGTTCTAGTCTTCCCGCTGCCGGCCACCTTGGGCGACCCTTGCCAGTCTCGCACGCCTCCATCCTCGCCCGCTGCCCCGACCCATCGCCCTGCTTCGGAGCCCTACCGCAGACATGGCTCAGCCTGGTGTTCAATCGTTAAAGGTTCGTCGCCCCTCCGCCTGCGTGCAACCAAGCTGACCATTTGCATAGTGTGTCGTGACCGGCGACGGTGCCGTTGGCAAGGTTGCTTTTCCCCAAAGCCGCCCGAGCCGCTGAGCCCCCGAGGCTGACCGACTCTTCCACAGACATGCCTGCTCATTTCCTACACGACCAATGCCTTTCCCGGCGAATACATCCCCACAGTGTTTGTCCTCCCTTTCGGCCATGTCCACGACACCGCTTCGAGCTGACCCGTGCGAAATTAAAGCTTCGACAACTACTCGGCGAGCGTAATGGTCGATGGCAAGCCCATCAGCTTGGGCCTTTGGGATACTGCCGGACAGGAGGACTACGATCGCCTGCGGCCGCTGTCATACCCCCAAACCGACGTCTTCCTCATCTGCTTCTCCATCGTCAGCCCGCCCTCGTTTGACAACGTCAAGGCCAAGGTACGCGTTGCCGCTGCTGTCAGCTGCCAAAATGCCCGCCAGCTGACCCATTCATCTTCTTCGCAGTGGTACCCCGAGATCGACCACCACGCCCCCAACATCCCCATCATCCTGGTTGGCACCAAGCTCGATCTCCGAGAGGATGCTGCGACGCTCGACTCTCTGCGGCAGAAGCGCATGGAACCCGTCTCCTATGAGCAGGCCCTGGTGTGCGCCCGCGAAATTCGAGCATACAAGTATCTCGAGTGCTCCGCCCTCACTCAGCGCAACCTCAAGAGCGTCTTTGACGAGGCCATCCGGTGAGTCCTCGCTATTATCTACAAGCCGTGCATGCCGTACATGCTGCCGTGAGCCCTCGTCATTGACCATATGGCCACAGCGCGGTCCTGAGCCCCCGTCCCCAACCGTCCAAGACCAAGAAGTCCAAGTGCTCGATTCTGTAAGCCCTTGGTCAACAGAGAGGGTCCTCCTCGATTCGGCATGCTTTCCTCGACGACCTCTTCACGCCAACTTCCTGGACGCGGGGTGCTGCGACTGGTGCCTCGCTGGCTCGGGGCGTCTTTGCCGACCCTTGCCAGCGTGCAGAGAGGTCCGGCTCCCGACCATTTCGAACGACGTTTCTCGCGGATGCGGCGACAGGTGGAATACATCTGGCTTCGGCATCTGCAGCTGGACACTCCATTGGGTCTCGACTCTCTCCGCCACCGCGCCGCCACGAGGGCCCATGATGTGATTTCTGCCGAGGGGTTTGTGAGGACGAGGCGCCTAGATTCTAGCCTCTGGTAATTTGGAGCTGTGGTTGTTTTGTGTCATGAGCTTGTTGCCGGTTTCTGGAGGCACTTGCTGGACGTTGGAAGACGAGTTGCTACATGATGAGGAGTCTGGCACTTGATTTTTGCATGTTACATTTCCCCCTCACCCCTTCCCTCCCTCTCTCTTGGCTCCTTGCCCAAAGGATATCCTAGCAGGCTGTTTTTTTTTCTATTTTGATGATCTGTAAATAGCACACTCACACATGAAAGGCGCCAGTTAACGAAGCACTTGGCACAAAGTGTACCAACAAATTATTGCGCCCGTTGTGCCTCGCTCCCGCAGTCGGCGGCTTCGGTGCAAGCCAGACGCCGTGCCTGGTCGGGATCCCAAGCGAAAAGGTAGGGTCAAAAGTGATACCGTCGGGGATGGTCATCTTTGTCGGTCAAGTTCAGCAAGGCATGTAAAGGCGCGCGGGCCTTGTGTCAAGAGACGTGCAGCTCCGGCGGAAAAGGTAGACATGTCCAGTCGCGAGCCGCGGCTCTCTCTCTCTCTCTCCCTCCCTCTCGACAACAGAGGGTATCGACGGGATCAATGGCCCAGACCCGGGTTCCTAGCCAGGCGGCTGGGGTGGATGATATCGCCCATGCCCTGCGGCTGGTCCTCGTGCTGCTGCTGCTGCTTCTTGCCGCCGCCCTCGTCCTTCGCCGCCTTCTCGCGCTCGATGCGCTTGGCGCGGTTGTCATCGAGCTTCTCGTTCTTGGCGCGGATCTTGTCGGTGCGGTGCTTGGTCTTGCCGCCGCCGCCGGCACTGGTGTTCCCCCAAGACTCGCGCGTCAGCTCTCTGCAGCAAAAACACGCACGACGGATGGACGGGTGAGAATAGAGAGAGGGAAAAGGGAGGAAACACTCACGTCAGCTCGACGTTGATCTTGCGCGCCGGCGACTTGCCATCGTCAAAGAGCGAGTGGTGGAAGCGATCCAGGCACGTGCGCTGCGCCCACACGTCGGCAAACTCGACAAACGCGATGCCGCGGCACGCACCGCCCTCCTTGCCCTTGCCCTTGCCCTTGTCGTCGCCGTCGCGCTTGGTCAGGCACCGCACCGACGCCGGGTTGAGCGACGCAAAGTGCGCCGTGATGGACTCCGCCGTTGCCGTGTACGGCAGGTTGCCGACGAAGACGATGTGCCGGTCGGCTTTCTCTGCTGCGGCTGCTGCCTCTTCGGAGGTGGTGGTGGTGGTGTTGGCGGCGTCGGGGGCGGTGTCTGCTTGGCCGGCCTTGCCCTTGCCGTCTTTCTTGTCCTTTTTGTCTTTCTTGTCCTTTTTCTCCTTCTTCTTCTCCTTCTTCTCCTTTTTCTTGTCGCCGTCGGCGTCGTCCTTGGTGGCCTCGTCTTGCTGCTCCGCCTTGGTCTCGCCATTCACCTTTTCCTTCTTGTCCTTCTTGTCCTTCTTCGTATTCTTCTTCACCTCCGCCTCCCCGTCTTGCTTGCCATCCCCATTCGCTTCCACGACATGCTTCGCCTTCTTCGCCTTCTTCTTCTTCTCCTTGTCATCATCCACCTCGGCCGCAGGCGCAGCAGCAGCTTCGTCGACCGCCATGGCGTCGGCCTCGTCTTCCTCGGGCAGGTCCTGGATGTCCTTCCTCTTGTCCTTTCTCTCCTTGCGGCTCTCCTTCTTGTCCTTCTTGTCCTTCTTGGCCTTCTTGGCCGCCTTCACGTCGCCGTCGCTCTTGCGCTTCTTGGCCGGCGGCTCCTCTGCTGCCGCGCTGACCGCATGCCTGTCCTCCTCGGCCGACACGGCGGCTTCTCGGGCGCGCTTGCTCTTCATTTCGTCTGGGCGATTGTCGGCGGCTTTGAATTGTGTTGCGAGCGGATAGCAAGTCGAAAGCAAGTCGAAAACAAGTCGGCTCGGCCGCCGACTTTTTTATTTTTTCCCTCCGTTTTAACTGGAGCAAAGCTCTGACGGGAAATTCAGCGGGGCTCCCACCACCCCATGCAGGGTCCCCCCACTTTGCCGATTGAGCCTCCAATGCAAGTTACTCCGTACCTCTCCGGATGGAACACGCCGTACCCTCCGGACCCCCGGCCGCTTCTCCATCTCGGCGCCCATCAACGTGTAAACGGCTCCCGCAGCAAGACCAAGAGCCTTGAATCAGTCGAGAACAGGCTTTATTGTTCTACCAATGCCTTCCTTGAACGCCCAATACCCTCCATTCCTCTAATTGTCTACACTGCAATTAACCCTCATGGTAACAATGGCCGTACTCTCGAGTCCATCAAATCCCCCCATAATCGAAATTACGAATACATATTCCCGTGACAAAAGAAACCACTCTCCGCCATGCCACTGTATTCCTACTTGCCTCAACGTCTGCCCACCTGTTCCTCGCCGCCTTCACCTTCCAGTCGTCCCCACGGCCACCAATGCCAGTGCCACCGCGGCCCAGACGAGAGCCAGTGTGGGAGCCAGAGCCCTGCCGCCAGAGGTAGTGAGCGGTGTTGTCATGTTCATCCCGCTCGCAACGTGGTCAGGCTTGGCAACAGTCGGCGTTGCGTCGAATCCTGAAGACTTGGCTGCAGTGGTCGGTCTTGGCTTGTCCGCATCTAACCAGTCATTTGCGCGTTTTTCTTCGTCACGGCGAGTCAAGTCTTGGAACTTTGCGGCCTTGTCCGAAAGAAGGTGACCATTGTCCGCCGTGTGGACGGGAAGCGAGGTGTGCAATGGAGAAGAGCTGAGCTGAGGCCCCTGACCATACGAAATAGGGTACGAGCCCGAGAGTGTTGACACAGCGTCACTAGTCGTCATGGTATCATGAGCGCCCATGATGCCCGCGGATCCGAAGCCCACCGTCGGCGTGGAGGGGCTCTGCGTGACAAACGAAGAGCTGAGTGTACTGACGCCGGGGGTTCCATACTCCGCAAGGGGGCTGTTGTAAGAGTACGCCGCCAGTGGAGAGAAGTAGGCCGGGGGTTCCGGCAGCTCAGGTGCGCTGTACGTCGGTGGTGCAGTCGTGGGATTAACTGGCGCCGACAATGATGTGGAGCCTGCCACTGTTGTGAGGGTGACCGAGATCGTCGGCAGCGAGGCCCGTGAGGAAACTGCTGTGGTCACATTGGCAGGCGCTTGACGAAGGGATGCAGACGCTTGACGAAGAGATGCCGACACTTGAGCAAGGGCTGCGCTTGAGCCAGAATCCTGAACAGGCGATGTGCTGGTGCTGCCGTCTGAAGAGCAGCTGGTCGTCTCGCGACCGGGAGCAACCGGGCCAGCGCGTGTAGCAGAACTGAATCCAGTGAGATCATCCGCGTGCGATGAAAAGCCTGCCACTGACAGGCTCCAGCTGGCACTCGCAGTGGCGGCAGATGTCGTGTGAATCGAGGACGAGTTGGAGCAAAGGCCTTCTGCTGCAAGGGATCCAGTGGAAGCCGGGCCAGCTGTCCTCGTGCCAAACGTAGACAAGGGCGTCAAGCTCGGCTCATTCAACGTTCGGGGAGGAGCATTCTCGGACCCGGCCACAGATCCGAAACAGTCGCTTGATTCTCCGGGCCTCGAGCTTTGGGTTGCAGCGGCGAGGGACAACGACAGATGAGCTCGGCTAGGAGTAGACGCGGTGGTGTTGGTCAGCGTACTTGTCTTGTCGCAGTTTTCACTTTGCGTGCCGGTCGTGGGACCGGGCAGCCGAGTGGTGACAAGAGAAGAGGAGGGTGAGAGCATGGATGTAGTCTGCTGCTCAGCGGGACCTTGGAGCAGAGATGCAGACATGAGTTGCGGGCTGGGAGAGGAGGAAGAGTCTTGGCCATGGCAAGGACAGGCCGTGCTCTGTGCGGGAGCCAAAGTTTTTGAGATGACCAGAGACGTTGGTGCACCCGACGAGGTGCATGCAGTAGTACCGTTCCTGCCGACTGAACCTCCAAGAGGAGAGCCGAGTGGTTGCGTTGCCGGATCCTTGGAGTCAGCACTACTGCCAGTGCCATGAGCTTCTGCCGTTCCCAGGTTTCCACTGTCAGGGCCCGGGGGCGGCGTTGCGCCAGGGTCCGGGACATCGACAGACAGGGTGAGAAGGCCATCAGCACCAGCCCTGCATTCGAGGCCCATTGAAAGGCGATGGTTGAACGCGAGAGTCTGAGTGCTGTACAGCGTAGAGGGGCCTGGCAACACTGGGCCCGGCTGTGTGGGAACGACTTGTCGCTTGGCATGAGTGGCGTAGAGAACCTCGACGGGATGCAGCGGGCTGATGTCGACGCCCAGGTCCGAACAGGCAGAGACGACGTGCCCGAGGGCAGGGCCGTACGTGTGCGCGTGGCACCCGTTGACCAAGCACTGAAAGAGAGCCTGTCGAGACGCGCGTCAGATCAAGCGTCCATCAGGGGCAAAGGCAGGTAGAGTGGAAGTGAGGGCATATGCTTCCAAGGGGCCACCCGTTGCAACCTACCCGCTGACTGGTCGCGCCGTCACAGAGGGTTTGCATCCTCTCGGCCGGAGAGAAATGCTTCGCCAAGGTATTGGTGCAGTCAACCACGCATGCTGGCAGAGTGTTAGCCGGCCATCCAGAGTCCTCAGATGGGGAAAGAGGACACTCACAGGGCGTGGCAGCGGCTGCGTCGGCTTGCCCACCGGCCAGCCCCAAGAGGAGCAGACTGCCGAGAGAAAGGAGCATCATGTCGTCACGCGTTGATGGAGAATAGCTGTGGAAATGGCTGGTCGTAATTAACGATAGTCACCAAAATGAGCGAATGAATGGAGGGCGGATCCAAAAACGAGGGAGAGGGGAAGTCGTGCAGCGAGAGCTTGAGGGAATTTCTGGATGATGATGAAGAGGAGAGAAGAAGAGGAGGGGAAGAGGAGGATGACGGGAGTTGAAGTAGGTCAAGCGTGGCGAGGACGAGGCAGGAGGCTCCTGACTGCACTGCCGAGCCTGCCACCGAGGCCAAAGGCAGCAAGCGACGAGGGCAGCAAAACAGACGCCTTCCCTTTGGCCATGTCACGGCAAAGAGGCAGGGCTCGCTTGGGTGTCTCGGCTGGAGGACGAGGTACAGCACATGCAGTGAGCCAAGTATTGATAGGAAGCGGAAGGAGATGGGGATGCAGGGCCAGCGGCCTCTCGAGTGCAGCCGCAGAGATGCTCCGTGCAATTCGAATGCCAAAACGGCAAGCATTTGGAGAGCACGATTGCCTAGTAAAACAGCAGGGCCAGCGGCTTCTTCTCGTCGCCGTATCTGCTCTTGAGCTCCTCCCTCGTCAAGAAGCGGGCAAGAGGCATCATGGTGTCCTTCATATCCAAGACGCCTCGCTTCTTCTGGTCGATGTGCGAGGCATCCACGACAAGACGCTGCAGCTTGTCCAGGGAGAGCGCGCCTGGCAGACAACGTGCACGGTCAGCATGCCGCTTGCGGGCGTCTCGTGGGGGCAAGCCTTGCTCACCATTGTCCATCAGCTCCATCAGGCGCGCCGGCGTGCCGACGCCGATGCCCGTCTTCCTGCTCGTGAGGAAGGCGACTTGCTCGTCGACCTTGATGTGCTTGGCAAACTAGATGCGCGGGAGAAGGCGAGGTCAGCAAGCGATGGGGTCCAGCCGCAGCGGGCTTGACTTACCAACTTGGCGACTGCGTTGTCCTTGCTGGAGAACTTGCGAACCGCCCTTTGTGTGCCTGGTCAGCGCGACTGCTCGCCCGAGACAGCCGTGCCGTGCTTACCTGACGATGTCGGCTGCCCTCAGCCCAGCCCCAGCGACGATGAGCGTGTGAGGCGAGCCATTCTTTTTAGGCGCCTTCTTCAGGCTTTCGGCATCTTGCGCAAAGGCCTCCAAGAAGGAGGGGAGGTGCTCGAGGGTCCTGTTCCCCTGCCAGGATGACGTGTCCCGTATACAGCTCGCTGAGGGGACGACGGGTGAGCTCGCGGTCAAGGAAATGGCAATGAGGCGTCTCACCTGGCACGGTCAGGTCGGACAGCTCGACGGAGCTCAGATCGCCCCCGAAACGAGTCGTCTTTTGCGCCAAGTGATCGGCCAGCAGCTGGTTGTCCATGCGGGCCACAAGGGTGTTGATTCCGAGGTCGGTGTCGAGAGCTTCGTCGTCTCGGCTGCTCTTTGTCTTTCTCTTCTTGTTCTTCTTGGGCGGAGGCGCAGACTCGGCCCCCCGTTTCTTGGGGTTCGACATGTCTGAGGAATCGACGAAATTTCACGATGCGATTGGTGGCTGGAGGTATCAGGCAGTCGTTGCCGAGGGCGCTTTTACTGGAATCCGGTACCACCTCACTGTATAGTTTGTTCTCTTCTTCGCCTTTTGTTATCACTTCTTCTTCATCCGAGGAACAACAGGTCGTCTTGGTGATCTGAAAATTCGTCCGCAAGCCGTCGCAGCCTTGCAAGGTCTTGGTATTTTTCTAGGGTCGCCGGTTGGTGGGGCCTCAGTACGCTACTAACTTTGTAGTTAGCGGGCCAACGGAGGGCGCGGCGACGTCTCTACTGATTCCCCCTCCAGGACCCTTGCTGACGATGACCGCCAACAGACAGTCCTGAACATAAGTTATTAACCGCCTTTCCGATAGGCACTGATTGTTGCATTCTGTCATCATGGGCATATCCCAAAACGTGGAATTGCTCGCCGTGATGCCCACTCACGAGTACCAGAAAATATTAACATGCCCCAGAAGCCTAAACGCCAGCCCTCTTGCGGTAAACCATCAAGCATCTTCCTCTTTGTGTCACCAAGTCCATCTCAGAAAATGCTGTTCACAATGTTGCCTCCAATCGTGGCGCCCGCGCCGAAAATGGCCGCATTGCCCAGCTTCTTGCCAAACTTCTTGCCCATCCCGCCAACCTTGCTGTCGCCGCCGCCGCCGCCACCCTGCGCCGGCTGGCCCCCGTCAGCAACGGCCATGGGCGGCACGCTCGCGTTGTACGGATTCTGCTGCTGCGGCGGCGGATATCCGTATTGAGGCTGCGCGTAGGGAGCGGGGGGCGGCACGCCCTTTTGATCGGCCTCCTCGAGGACGTAGGTGCGCGGGAAGATGCCTTCCTGGCCGGTGCGCTGGTTCTGCCCCAGCCACCAGTCCTGGTTGAGGCGCTCGTGCACGGCAATCCGGTCGTCCTTTTCAAATGACAGATCGCGCCCGTCCGAGGCCACGTACGGGTACAGCGCGCGCGCGTGCACCAGGACGGGCTTGGCGTTGTTGCGCTGCGGCACGTTTGGCGGCGGCGTGTCCTCGTAGCACGGCGGCGCGGGCGAGGCCGACTTGGCGCTGTCGGCGTGCACGGCCAGGTTCTGGAATGCCTGCGTCGGCGGCTGCTGCTGCTGCTCGGCCGTGGCTGTTGCCGCGTTCTGCGCCGGGCTGCTCGCGGCGTTGCTGGCGCCCGTCGCGGTGCGGAGGGGGCCTGAGAGAGGGGATTCTTGGGGCAGGGCGGCGTGGATGTTGTCGAAGACGGCTTCGTCGATGACACCCTTTTCGAGGAGATTTTCCAGCTCCTAGCACGGCACCGACTGTCAGCATCCTCACTCGCACATCACGAGACGAGGCCGGGTGTTGTTTCGGGTCCTACCGTCTTGATGTTGCGGAGCGATCGGTTCGTCTCCATGATGATCTGGCGGTCGGCGGACACCATCTTGGCGGGAAGTGCGGCCTCGTAAGTCGACAGTAGGCGTCACTCGATGCGGTAGAGAGCCTTCTCGTCTCTTCGAGCGTCGGAAAAGCCGAGGGGAAGAAGACACAAAGAAAGCGAACGTGTGAAGCAAGGGCGTCGTCGTAGAGTGGGCGGGCGGTTAGAGGAATGGGTGCCTCGCCGATGCGGCACGCCATCGGTACGGGGTCACGGAGTTGAGTTGGGGCTGTGCGCACTCGCCCCCACTCGCCCCACGACGGCCCTTTCGCAACTCCGACGAATATAGGGTAGGCCGAGCCTCTGGAGGTGAACCCAACAGATAGACGTGCTGCATCATGGCACAGGTTTCAGTACTTTATTCCGAGAAAGTGCCAATCCCGGAAACAAAGGGCAAATCCGCAGTTCCCAATACCAACCATCTACGAGGCCATGATGATCCGTAAAATAGTTAACACCCTCTGGCCCTATGTGGTCGATGCCCACCTTTACATCCGAGGCCCGGCAGACTGCCGATCCAGCTTCCAAGTCTACTCTGTAAGTGGGTGGGGAAATGCAGCAACGATCGATACGAGGGAGACGTTGGGTTGACAACATTCACCGTCGCATCTTGTGCAATCAAAGGCGAACTGCTCATTGGGCGGCCGGCCATGCGATTAAACCCAAACAGCCAACGTCAATCCGCGGGTACAGTTCCAAAATCCACGGCCGTCTGTGCACTAGAAACACGGGCATCCAGACTTGGCCCCTCTCTTCCCGAGACAGCTTACAGAAACTTGCTCTGCTTGACCGTGTACAAGTCGACGTACTCGTCCACGGACATGGAGTCGAGCTTCTTGCTGTTCTGGCTGAGCTCGACGAGCTCCTTGACCCTACTCTCGGCCAGGTGCGGGCCCAGGTGACGCTTGTACTTGGCCAGGATGACGGGCTTGGCCTCGTCGCGGCGCAGACGGTGGCCTAGGGGCGCCTCAACGGCCACCTCGTCCAGGACGGTGCCGTCGTTGAGCTCGACGGTCAGGGCGTTGGAGATGGTCCGGAGCTTGGGGTCGTGGTAGTCCTTGGTGTACTGCGGGTCTTCGACGCACTTGATCTTCTTGCGCAGGGACTCGACGAGCTCAGAGGTGGCAGCCTCGCCGCCGTCGGTGTAGTCGGTGGCCTCGAGGCGGCCGAAGACGAGCATGACGGAGCACATGTACTGGATGCAGTGGTCGCGATCGGCAAAGTTGTCCATGGGCTTGAACTGCTTGTCGATGATGCGGACGCAGGCCTCGTGGGTGCGGCAGGTGACGGCCTTGATGTCCGCGGCCGACTTGCCCATGGCCTTGAGCTGGTGGTGAATCTTTTCCGAGGCCTCGACGGCCGTCTGCGAGTGGAACTCGGCTGTTGCGCGCAGGTTAGTCATTGACACGCAGCTGGACGCGATTCTTTGGTGGGCTTACCAGGGTAGGAGACCTTGAAGAGGACATTCTCCATGACGTAGCTGCCGTAGGGACGCTGAAACTCAAACTTGTTGCCCTTGAAGAGGACGTCGTAGAAGCCCCAGACGGGCGCGGATAAGACGGTGGGGACGCCCTGCTCGCCCTTCATGACCTTGAGGGTCAGGTTGACGGCGCGCTGGCAGGCATCGCCGGCGGCCCACGACTTGCGGGACATTGTGTTTGGGGTGTGGCGGTAGGTGCGCAGGCTCTGTCCGTCGACCCAGGCCTGGGTGACGGCGTCTGCGATTTGCCTCTCGCCGAGGCCGAGCATCTTGGAGACGACAGCGGTGCTGGCGACTTTTACAAGGACGACGTGGTCGAGGCCGACCCTGTTGAACGAGTTGAGCAGGGCCAGGCAGCCCTGGATCTCGTGCGCCTTGATCATGGCCTCGAGGACGTCCTTGACGGTGAAGAGCTTGCCGCCGGCCAGGTTGCCGCCGGCCTTGTTGGTGCGGTTGACCCAGTCGGCGACGGCGAGGATGGCGCCGAGGTTGTCCGAGGGATGGCCCCACTCAGCGGCGAGCCAGCAGTCGTTGAAGTCGAGCCAGCGGATCATGGCGCCGATGTTGAAGGCGCCGTTGACCGGGTCCAGCACGAAGGGGGTGCCGGGCACCCTTGTGCCGTTGGGGACGACGGTGCCGGGGACGACAGGGCCGAGGAGCTTGGCGCACTCCTTGAACCTCAGGCCCTCGAGGCCGCAGCCGAGCGTGTCGAGGAGGATCCATCGCGCCGTGTCGAACTATGCGGTGATGGGTGGCTCAGTCAGCGCTTGTTGTTGGGGGATGATGCTTTTGAAGATTGCGGACAAGGCGGGGTAGCTCCGCCCAACACCCACGATCAAGCACCAGGGGAGGGGAAAAACGTACCGCGAGCTCAGAGTCGATGGGCTTGTTGGCGACATAGTCGGCAATGTCCTTGATCTCGGGGTCGTATTCTCGCGAAGCCATGGCGGACGGCGGCGCACCCGAGTGTCGTGCAGCAGAGGTGCAAAAAGTGCTGGCACAAGAAGGCCGTGGATTTCTTATAGCCGCAACGGAGCGAGTGGCGCCGAGGGAGACCGAGCGGGCCGCGGCGAGGCGAGACGGCGTTGCTGTCTGGCGCAGCTGCCTCGACGCCGTCCGCAAGCTTCGGTTGACGGCAGACATGGCGTGTGCGTGTGCGTGTGCTCTGAGCGCTCCAATTGAAGGGTCCGCGGCCTCTGCTTTCTGGAGCAAGGGTGGGCAATGGGATCAAAGGGGCAGAGGGAAGCTTGAACGAGAGGAAGCTTGTCTCGGCTCAAGGGACCCTTTGATGCCGTAAGCTACGGGCTTCGACTACTCCGTACTGTAGGTGCTTTTTTCTCAACCGATGCATGCCGTCTGCGCGCTTTTCCTCGGCCAAGGGAGCCATTATGTAAGTACGTGCTCTGGTACTCCATGTACTAGGTACTCCATGTAACGGACGAGCGGTAGTTATCAGGTATTACCGGAATCTTGGCCGTCACCGTTTGTCGCCGCGACTTGAAAAAGCTGCGAATAGCTTCATCGTCATATGCGTCCGCGGCTCTATTCACGAGTACATGCGGATCAAACACGCCGGGGCAACGAATTTCAAGAAAGCTTTGGGCGTCGCTAGCGGCCCAGTGTGTCTACTGATCCCAACTGAGCGGATTGATAGGTCATTGTTCGAGGTTACAACCAGTGCAACTCCAACCGCTTCTCAACTTTGGAGATCCGGCAGCCGGCACGTTGCAGCGAGGCTCAAGAATGACTCGAATGAGATACCACCCTCGGCCCCATTGGTCGTGCCCAGGTTGGGTCCAAGAGACGATACCACCAACCGCTCCGCAACCGGCCATGACGGCATTCCCAACCTCGTCAGAAAAGGCTCGGCTCTCGTCCAAGGTCCCGACAGTGTGACGCACCACTCCGGCGTCGTCCATGTAAGCCAGCCACTATCAATCAATCATGATGCCCCCGTGTCCAGCCAGAGATTGCCGTCAATCACGATCCACGTCGCGGCCAGCGTCTCGAGCGCGGTCAGGCCAAGCGCACTCGCACTTTGAGCCAATCGCTCCCTTGCGCCGGCCAGTCGTGGCCAGTCGTTGCCAGTCGAGGCCAGAGCTCGGCCAAGATGCATGGGTTTCGGGGCGCGAGACGCTTTGTTGGGCGCCATGTGCTTGCGACCACAGTACGGCGCACAAGCAGCCAGCACTGCCGCCCGGTGGAACGTTCGTTGTTAGTGCCACGAGAGCAAGACGTTGCGGCCACGTTCTCGAGGCTTTGCCGCGAATCAATGTTCGTCCGTGTCAAGTATGCCGCCCGTCGTTGGCTACCGGTCCCTGGAATCGTGGCTAACCGTCAGGCCGCCCAATCAGGACGCAAAACCCTCCTCGTAGGACTGGCACCGGGCCTAGACCAACGCGTCTCACAAAGCTCTGGGTTAGATGCGCAGCGACTCCATGGTCCCGCAACCGGATCCCTTTGTCCTGTTCAAATTCCGTCGTTGGAGCATCTGAGCATTCATCGGCGCGTACATGGCAGTCATCTCCGTGGAAACGCGTCCGGCCCCCGAACCTTTCCGGTCAGTGCCGGAGGGATGCGCGAGCCTACTGGCGGATCAGCGCCTGTCAACCTTGCCGTGTAGCTCAACGCAGGGGGTTCTCGAGTCCCGTCGAGACGTGGGAGAAACGTCCACTGCCGCGTGTAACTTGGTCCATGGGGCCCTGGTATACAGAGAGCGAGCCTCGCCTCGGACCGTCGACGCCCAACAGCGACTGCACGCGCCTGTTGGGAAGCCGGCACTTGCTTTCGGCCCGCCGCCTCTCGCGCCTGGGGTGCCGGAGGGCGACGGCGCGAGGGGCGAGAGAGCGTCAGCGCAGCGAAAACAAGGTGTGAGACGGGCGCTGGTCGTCGGCGCACGCCTGAAATGGCGGGCCATTGTGCAACCAACGTTCCGTGGCCTCTCGGGGGGCGAAGCCTTGAACAGAGTCGGCGCGGCCCCGTCGCAGTCAGGCCGGAAGGGCTACGTGCATGTATATATAGGCCCCAGCCAAGGCCCCTTCTCCAGAAACTCGCTCACCATCAGTGCCACTGTCCAACCAGAACTTGCTCAATCCTTCTCCTCGACTTACCGGATACCCAAAGCCGTCAATCGTCTGATCCACACACGCCACCTCGAGATACCCATCGACCCCCCCAAGTGCCTACCCGCCATGCAGTATACCACCCTCAAGCTTGCCGTCCTGTCGCTGCTGGCGGCCAACGCCGCAGCCAAGACAATCCGTGTGGACATCAACGGCAAGACCTTCTCGCCAGACAACGTCAAAGCCGACCGGGGAGACATGGTCGAGTTCCACTTCTCCAAATCCAAGCACAGCGTCGTCGCTGGTAACTACGACAAGGCCTGCTCCCCCGTCGGCTCCGGCGGCTTCTACTCGGGCACCGTCCAGGCTAAGGGTGATGAGGTGAGTCGGACCTGACACGGTGGATGCAGGGACCCGATCGGTTGGTGCTAACTCGTCCAAATCAGCCGAGCGTCTTCCGGGTCAACGTAACCACGACCGACCCCATCTTCTTCTACTGCTCCGTCGGCAACCACTGCAAGGATGGCATGGTCGGCGCCGTGAACCCCAGTTCGGACAAGACTGTCGACAAGTTCCGGAGCGCGGCCAAGTCGGCTGGCGGCAACATCAGCCCCGATGCCGCATTTGGCGGCACCCTGGTCAAGCCCAGCGAGGGCACGGCCCCTACCCCGAGCCCCGGCGTGACCGGCGCGGCTGGGCACCTGACGACTTCATTTGGTGCCCTCGGAGCTGCTGCCGCCGCCGCCGCCGCTTTCCTTGCATAATCCATCGCGACGACCAGTAGATGCGCTGCTGGCGCCCAATGTTGAGACCAGCCAAGGACAGCGGCGAAATGTGCATTGGTGTTTCCTGTTTTGACCGGCAATGGTCTGCATCACGGTGGAACTCGCATAAAGTTTGGGATAGTGCGTGGCCCCACGGCAAGATGATTTGTTGATAGAGAGTGTAACAACAAGCGAAGGCATCGAATATTTTGACTGCGAGAATGTGTCCTGCAGGCAATCAGTGCCCCGAATCATTCCGAGCCGCGGTTCGTGACTGTGACGCATCGACGTGTCCGGCTACGGATATTCTAGCACTCGTTGTCGGGCCGCGACGGCGAAGATGCTTCGATTGGCCTCTACTTTCCCTGCCCAACACTGGCAGGCTGGATGATCGGGGTCTGTTGTGCTGGTAAGGAAGGTGGTGCCGCGTCCATGTAGGCCGGGGAGGGGTTGGAGAGAGGTTGAGCACGTGGTGCCGGTGGCCGCGACATGCGCAAATAGAGAAGATGAGCGTAGGCGTCGAGGCCCGTCATGTCTGCGGCGAAGCGATGGACAAGGGGCGGAGGGTGACCATTCATCGAACCATGACAACGAGCCGCGCATCGGGCTCTTGAGTGAGGCAGTGGTTGGGGCGGTTGAGGCGGCAGACGACGAGCACTTGCGCAGGGGACGAGATGCTAGCTGCGATTTGTTACTATGACCAGCACAACGGGCCTCGCAATCGGGACGATGCCGGAGCAGGGGAAGCGAGTCACTAGCAGGCGGGCAAGGACGGAGTCGGCGGCGATAACGAGCAGGCGGGCGGGAGTGATGGGTTTCGGTACATGGCGCATTTCCGGGGCGCAAATATAAGACCGTCTGTCGTCAAGAGTCGGGGAAGTTGGGCGATGCGCAACGCGGGCGAGAGGCAGGCTGATCGACGATGACGGAAGGCCGCTGCAGCTCGGGAGGATCTGAAGAGAAGGAAAAGAGGTCATGCCCTCCCTGATGCCGTGGCGGTGGGACATGAGGCAAAAAGGGGGTCCTGGCGGGGCAAGGGACTTTGTACTCTCAGGCGGTTGCGGCATATGCGAGGTACATGCGCACCTGCCTCCAAAGGCGCCGAGTGCGACGGGATTTTTGGGCGCCTCTGCCGGGCTTGGTGACGTGCAGGGATTCGGGGATGTTGGTGGGCGCGAGGCTGACGATGGCGGCACATGGGCACTCCGTGCGGATACAGGACATTGGGTTGGACACGGACGAGGGTCAAGGGCGAGACGAGGTTGAAAGCCGAGCCAAGAGCCCTGCTTGCACTCATGATTGGCTTGCGTTGCAAATACGGAGTAACCGCCTCGGTATAGCACAGGGCGAGCAGCGGGCTTCCAGAACTGAGCGGTTGGGCGTCTATGTGGTACAGTACACCCACCGTACCAAGCATCGGGTGCCCTTTTTCCCGTCACGCACGCACCGGCATGTCTGGGAGCCCGATGGCCTGAATGGGTGTGGTACTTCGTACTGCGGCTGCACAAGGAAATCACCGACCGAGATGCTACAATACCCGCACGTTCTGCACGATGCCGGGCCATGAGGCAGCAGCAGGAGTCCGAGTTGGTCTGTTTTAGCTCAACGCCTGTTTCCGAGCAAAGTTCCATCCATCCCTGTGGTACTATCCGTAGTACGTACATACTGTAGTGCGTCACTTAAGTAGGTAATTAGCCAGTCAGACGCCGCCAAGCAAGTAGATACCTACGTACCTCAGCTTGCCAGAACATTAGGTAAGGTATCTAAGTAGGTATCTTTTACCACCTACCCGACAGAAGGAACGAGGAAAAGAATCAAGAGGTGGATTAAGGTCTCCGTTCAACTCCCCTCCTCTCGTCCCAAAAGACGGTCCTTTTGTACCCCTCCTTTCCCTTGCTGGCCCCTTGCTGCTGTAATGGTCCTTCTTGCTCCATCACTTACCTACGGATACCTAGTACTAAGGTAGGTATGATACCGGTACTCCGTATAGACTTTGCCAAGGGACCGCGGGAGAGCCAGTAATACCGTACGTACCGAGCTGCGGTACCTCGGTACCGGGCCGAGGCGGTCGAGGCTTCGCCAATCCCTTGTCCCGAACCCTGCTCCCGGTCGCGGATGCCACGTTGGGAAAAGGCTCGGTTGCCAAGCCCTGCCGAAAAGCGGGTCCGATCTCGAGGTCGATGTAGGGATCTTCCGCATCGGTCACATCGTCATCCCCAAATCCCATGTACTTTGTATCCATCTTTGACCTCTGGCCACGCAGACTGGCTCTCGCCGTGTCGTATCATATCGGCGCGCGCAAATTCAAACACGCAGCGCCCTCGACGCGAGCCCGCTAGTGTGGGCCAAAGTTGACAGATAGCAAAATGCTAATGCATTTGCTGGCCGGTCAGCCAGGGGCCCCAGGCCGCCGCCCCCTTTGCGGCCCTGATATGTAGAGCGCTTCGGCCCTCGGGTGGCATTCGCAGCTAGGTACACAGGTGCGAGTTCTGTCAGAGGGCGTCGAAAAGTCTTTGGTGGCACAAGCCCAGCCGTGCCCGCTGCTATATCGACTCGAGCCCTCCTCGCCGTTGACTGGAGTTACTGGAGCCTCGCGCAGCAACACTTTTCTCCACTGCCCAGTAGCCTCCTCTTGGCAATTTTCCTGCTGCCGCCGCCGCCGTGGCTGCCGCTTGTTGTTGTTGTTGTTGTTGTTGCTGCTGCTGTTGCTGCTGTTGCTGCTGCTGCTGCTGCTGCTGTCGTCGTCGTCATCGTCGTCGTCGTCGTTGCCGCTGCCGCTGCCGCTGCCGCTGCCGCTGCCGCTGCCGCTGCCGCCGCCACGACGTCTCATTCTTGATCCCCGTTCCCCAGGAGGCGGGCGGGCTGCTGCAGCAACTGCCACTCCTGCCGCAGCTGCCACCACTCCTGCCGCAACTGCCACTCCTGTTGCAACTGCGAGTACAGTACCTGCTCCTGCCGCAACTCCCCTGCGGCTGCTGGGCGCCAACGGGACGGACGGGCTGCATATAGCGTGTGTGGGACGGACCAGCCAGGCCCTTGTCTCGCTGTTGACGGGATTTTGATGAGACATCGAGAGAAAGCGAGAAACTGGATCCACGTTTCAAATCATCCTCGACAATCCGCCACGGTTCTCGACGCCACGATTTCGATTCGGCCGACGCACCCACACGCCGGGAATCGTTCTCTTGACCCGCACCCGTACCTTTCCACCCCCTATTCTCACCACCCCCGTGCCGCACAGCACTTGGACGCACGTGCGGCCCGGTCCACTGGCCCTGTCCACTGGCCCTGTCCACGGGCCCTAGCTAGGCACGGCTCTTGATCTGACTTGGCCGTTTGGCCTGAATATCAGGGTCCTCTGGCCAGCCTCGAGGAGCCAGCTTCGATCCAGCCAGCCTCGAGCCAGCACCGCTGACGACATCGACTTTTTGCTTGTTAGGCCGGCTGGCCCACCCCCAATACCATTTTTTCCCGCCCTGCTACACACTACACAGGCTTGGCTGGGGGAGAAACAGCCACCATTTCGATTTTGGTGGGCGACTCGGTAGCCTCTGTAGCCTTCGCAGAACCTGTCGTGGCTCCTCACTCTCGCTGCACCCTCGCTGCCCATAGTTGAAGAGTCAAAAGGCCCTCGCCCAAGATTAAGATCCCTCGTCTCCCGGTGGTCGAGCGTGAACAAGGCTGCGCCAATCACCCCGTACGACACATCACTCATGGCTGCGGGCAAGCTGCTCGTGTACCTGCTGAGGCGCGATCTCAGGGTCTCGGACAACCCCATCCTGCACCACCTGGCCGCGTCTCCGGACCACGGCTACACCCACCTCCTCCCCATCTACGTATTCCCCTCGCGCCAGGTCGAAGTCTCGGGCTTCCTCAAGGATGGCCAGCAATCGCCATACCCCCAGGCCCGGAGCCGGGTCGGCGGGTACTGGCGATGCGGCCCCCACCGGGCCAAGTTCGTTGCCCAGTCCGTCTGGGACCTAAAGGACAGCCTGCAACAGCTCGATAGCGACCTCGTCATCCGAGTTGGAGACACCCGGGATGTCCTCAGCCATCTCATGCAGGGCTTACAGGACCAGTCGCCCAAGCTCGCTGCCGTGTGGATGACGGAGGAGCTGCCGTGGGAGGAAAAGGAGGAGCACGAGGCCGTTGCCGCCCTGTGTTCGGAAAACGACGTTGATTTCAAGCTCTGGCCCGACGAGAAGTACTACATAGACGAGTGAGTATCCCCTGCGGCGGCCCCAGCGGTCCTGGTGACGCTAATCCGGCCTCAGTCGCGATACGGGCTTGGCCAAGCCCGCCGACCTGCCCGATGTATTTACGACGTATCGCAAATCCCAGGAGCCCCTGCGCGAGCGACCTCGAAAGGCACTACCGGCCCCCGCCAAAGCTTTGCTGCCTCCGATGCCGGACGAGTCGGCCATACCGCCCCAGCACGGCCCCTTCGAAATCCCCGCGTCTCTCGATGGGCTCGAGGCGCGCCTGCTGCAGCCGCTCGACATCGGCTTGTCCAATCCGCCCAAGGCCTGTGGCGATGCGCAGTCTGGACACACCTTCCAGGGGGGCGAGCGTAGTGCCCACGAGCGCATCTGCCACCTGCTCCGGTCTGGAGCGGTGTCGTCATACAAGGAGACGCGCAACGGGCTCTTGGGAGCCGACTACAGCACCAAGCTGTCGGCCTACCTCGCCCTCGGGTGCATTTCCGCGAGACAGGTGCACGAGGAGCTGCTGAAATTCGAAGACGGCAAGGCAGAGGCGTACCGGGAGGCGGCCGGATACGCCAAAGGGGAGAATGCAGGAACGGCAGGGATACGCTTCGAGCTGCTGTGGCGCGACTACATGCGGTTGTGCACCGCCAAATTCGGCCGCAAGCTGTTCAAGCTGTCGGGCTTCACGCAGGACAAGAGCTACGACACGAAATGGAAGACGGCCGACAAGGCGGTGGCGGTGCGCGGCCAACAGCCCTCGCCAGACAAGGTGTCGCGGCTCATCGAGAGATTCAACGAGGGCACGACGGGCATGGGGCTCATCGACGCCACGCAGCGCGAGCTCTTCCTCACGGGCTACACGTCGAACCGCGCGCGGCAGAACGCGGCCAGCTTCCTCTCCAAGCACCTGAACATTGACTGGCGCTACGGCGCCGAGTGGTACGAGATGCTACTTGTCGACTACGACACGTCGTCCAACTGGGCCAACTGGCAGTACGTGGCCGGCGTTGGCAACGACCCGCGCGGTGATGCACGCATCTTCAACCCTGTCAAGCAGGCCTTTGACTATGACAAGGACGGCGCCTATGTTCGCACGTGGGTGCCGGAGCTCAAGGACTTGGAGAAGCCCGAGAATGTCTTCCAAGCCTGGACCACGAGCAAGGCCGACCTGGAAACGTGCGGCCTCGTCGAGAACGTCATGGTGACAAACCCTCTCAAGCGCATCGACTTCAAGCTGGACCGGAAGCCTCGGAGCACACGCCGGCCGTTCCCGCGCAATCGCGGCCGAGGCGGCGGCGGCAGCAGTGGCGGCCGTCGAGGTGGCAACGGGAGAGGGCAGGGGCCCGGCCAGCCAGACAACTCGACCGAGGAAAGCTTGGATGATGCGGGGCCCAAGGCTAATTCGGAGTCCAAGGACAAGATTCAACATGGCAATGGGGCCGTGGCACCTCCTCACCAGCCCCGGCCCCCAACAGGCCCCAGAGGCAAGTACAGCAACGGTCCGCATGGATACGTCGCCAACGGCGGCTACAATGGCGGCTACACCGGCGGTTACAATGGCGGCTACACCGGCGGTTACAACGGCGGCTGGTACCCAAACTATGGCATGCGGGGACGAGGAGGACAGTACGGATACGGCCGCGGTGCCGGTCGATGGCACGGCCCAAGGACGGGGTATGGATTCAGGGGACATCAACAGCCGTGGCAGCCCATGTACGGGTCAGCCCCGGCCTGCCCCCCGCTCCCGAGTGTACACCCCAGCGCGCATGGATGACCGGGCAGGCCGTGGGAACATGTTTCCGGTTTCAGCGCTGATGAGGCGAGCTTGATTGGGTAAAGTAGCGGTGCGGAGATTGTTGTTGCGATGAAAAGGGAAGAGGGGGGACCCAAATTGAGGAGCGATGATTTGCGAGTTGCACCAGGTTCCTGGCAAGCGCAGTGGTTTGGATATGGACAGACTGAGGGCTATTTGCTTGTTTTCAAATCTGCATGTATTACGGACGCGCCACGGAATCACTTGGGTAGGACGTGAACGGGGGGGTTGGGAGGCAGCATCAGAGGTAGGCTGCACCATGAACACGGGCCTGTATACTTTAGGCGAGTGCAATAATCATGTCACTGTTTACCATGAGGGAGGGAGTCGTACTCGGATTGGTTGGTGGTGATGAGGCGACGAGTGGCGATGCCAAGGCAAGACGCGTGCATAACTGGTGGTATTGCGAGGCCTAATGTAAAGTACATTGCGCATCCGGCGGCTCAGAAGCCGACCTTCTTCTCCTTGTCCTTGATGGGGAAATCACTGCCGGTAAACTTCTTGTATTGGTCGCGGATGCCGTCGGAGATCATTTCGTCCTTGGCCTGCTCGGCGGCCGATTCGTTGCTCTGGTCGCCCTGGCCGAGCACCTTTTCCTGGAACATATCGACGGCTTTTACCGGCGTTAGCGTCTTTCGATGCCTTGCTGTGAGAAGTCGGGGGCAGAAGGGGGGAGGGCGATACCTTTGTCGAGGCCGTCTTCGTCCCTCTCGCCCTGCGCGCCACCGCCGGCGGCGCCGTTGAGCTTGTCCATGAAGCCGCCGCCGGCGGATGATTGGCCGGCTTGATTGTTGTCCTTGTTGTCGCTGCTGCCGCCGCCGGTTGCCTTCTTGAGGAAGTCCATGACGATGCCGTGGGTTCTCGAGTGCTTTCTAGGGCTGGGACTTTGTGTGGAGGTGCTGGAGGCGAGGAAGAAGCGTGCTTGTAAAACAATTGAGGGCAAATGGAGGGGTAGGAGAGGCTGTTTGTTCGCTCGACAGGGATATATGATAGGATTGACGTATTTCGGTAGTGCAAGGACGCTCCTGTCTTGTAACAGGAGTCTGGACTCGGGCAATGATGCAAGGACAGTGCAGCCAAGCAGGAGGGGAGGGTGGGGCGCGGTATTTCTTGGTTGAAACGGCAGCACCTTATCTTCAGTCCTGGTCTTGGACTCTTGGTGCTCCTCTCCACCCGGCTTGAGGAGAACGAGATGGAGCTTAGACATGGCTTCTACACCCAGCATGGGGAAGCGGAGGGGCACAAGTCTTGGAAGCCAGCTGAACGGACGGACTCTCTCCCTCTCAGTAGGCAAGACAACCTGGGTCTCTGTCTTCTTGGACGAGCCAGACAGGCGGTGCTTGGAGGGAGCTGAAATCCCCCCCGCTTTCCCCCTTCCTTTCAGCTGGCGAGGGGTCGAGCCCCTATGACGTCGGGCTGCTCACTCCGTACTCTTTAGTGTTTATTATACGTACAAGCAAGAGGTTGGTTTTGCGGGGCTCTCGGCCAGATCGGGAGATCTAAGACCGTGGGGTTCCGGGGGCGGAGCGGCCGGAGCGGCGAAGCTGCGTCAAGGGTCCAGTTTATGTTCGTCTTTTCACCCTTTTTGCTTGTGATTACTCCGTGTTTGAAAAATGGCGAGATTTTGAAATATCATCTGGCTTGGACCGGTGTACATGTCGGATTGGCACTTCTCTGCATCCCACAGACTACCATGCTCCTCGAGCCAGTCTCAAGACTTGGTTCGGCCAAAACCTGCCTCGGATCCGCCCGCATGACGTACATGGGTGTTGCACTTTGCCTGGGACACTGATTAAACGTGGGATGGGTTGGAGTGGCCTGTCATGCAGCCGCGTTTCTCACATGTCCTACGACACTGACTCCCGCTCACCTGATACCCTACCGCCATGTTGAATATCGATTTCAGTTTGCCTACTAGGACGAATCAAGGGAGCCGAGTAGACACAAAGCCACTCTCCTCTCGAATCATCGTGCTCTTCCATCCTCTCCCTCCTTCATCTCCATCCCTCTCATCCCCCATTTCCCCCCTGCCCCAATCCGCCCCCTTCCACATACACCCACTCTCCCCGCGGCTTCAGGATGGGTGGTGATACAGCATGCGACTTACACACATCATTCGCCTTCCTCCCGTGGCGACGAGAGGGGGAAGAGGAGGAGGTATGACCAAGGCAACGCTCTCTGGCCCCCCTGTCGGGCCAAGGATCTTTGAGCGGCCAGCTTGTGCGGATACTGGAGCTGGGGCAAGCCATCTTTGCGTCCCAGGGCCCAGCAAGTCGCGAGTGGCTGCTTGCAGTGTCGACCTCCCCGGTTGTGAGTTCACATCGGAACGCGGCCGAGCAGGACAACGAAGCTGGGTGGCAAATCGTTGACGTGTTGAGATGGGGGCTTGTGCAGATGGGCAAGCTGGGTCATAGGGGAAAAGCTCTCCATCACCGGCCGTATCGAGCTGCGACGTAGCGACACGGGGACTGCTGCTGGTGCAACCCAAAGTTTCAAATCTACCGCCCGAAGCCTTGCTCTTAGACATGTTGACCGCTGCTGCCTCACCACCTTGAGCAGCGCAGCAGCAGCAACAACACCCATGACTCCCGTCATCAGATCTGCACCGTCGATAGTCGGCTTGGCCCAGTGGCGGTCGCAGGCTCACCCTCAGCGGCATCAACAAGGGAGTGTCAGTACCGACCCGTCACTTTACCCCGGAGCCAGCAGACGCTACAACAAGATGAAGGCCTTGAGGGGAGCAGCGTCGAGGCACTCGCCAGAGATACGACACGTCCTCATCCCCCCTTTGTGACGGCGGCAGGGGCACCTCGTCCCCTCGACTGGTGCTGTCCGTGTACGTACTGACTGGCACACGCTGGCATGGATTCTTTCAGTCACTCGCTCTCATACCCGCTGCGGCCTATATCGCCTGGCAGAGGTATTCAACTACTGCCAGTCCTACCTATCAAGAGCGCCGGCCCCTGTGCCGTCTCGGCCGGCCCTGTAAAACCATGACGCCATGTCCATCCAAGTATTCCCACGTGAAGAGAGCCTAAGAGGACGGAAGCAGAGGAAAGAGATGGAGGAATAGCATGGCGAAAAGCCAAGCTCTACATGGGCATGGGCATGGGCATGGAAGGCGGCGCCCAGGGCCGTCACTGGCTCCTGATGCTCCGCTCACCCGAAGCTGCCACTGCGACGTGGCATCACACTGTAGCTGCGCCGTGGAGGAGCATCTGCAACAGCCTGGACTACGCGCTCGACATCAGTGCCGACCGCCCCTTTGACGCACCGGAGGTTGTCGAGCGCCACCGTGTTGCCGCCGGGCTGGACGCGGCCGCGGCCGAGGAACTCGGCACGGCTGTCCGGAGCGTGGAGCCCCGGTCCTGCCGCGGCTGGGCGGTCGAGGTCTTGAGGAAGCTTCAGGATAGGCTCCTGGTCCTCGACGTCTGGGTTGAGCGGCGAGGCCATGGCTGGACCGGCGATGGCGGCCTGGAAGAGATCTCGGCGCCCAACACCCCTTTTCCCGGATGAGGAGGAGAGATGAAGCGGAGCTATCTCGAGTCCCGGGCCTCCCTCCGCGCACGTGAAAGCACTCGACCGATCCCCCCTCCCAGTTGCTTGGCAGACAAGCGGGAGGGCAACGAGGGGAAGACGCGGGACGGGAGAAGGCCCACCGAGACCCAAGCGAGGACCCAGAGAGAGGAGAGGAGAGGCTCGCGGGATTTAAGCAGGCCCCGATGCCCCGGCGGGAGGGCTAAAGGGGGAAGCAAGCGTGCAGGCGTCTTGTATGTAGCAGGACATGGTTGATTGGGGGCAGACGCAATGCCATGCCGCCTATATGGCCTGTGCTTTTTCCCACGTTTCACTGCGCGAACTGGGTTTTTGTTTGCTGCTCCGTCTTCCCTCTCCTCCACCCAGCCTCGTCCTGTCACCACCACGCCCTATGGACGATACGCCTCTGTCCTGTCCAGGCGTCCAATCATTTATTCGGGAACCCAAGGCTTGTTGCGGCTACTTGCAACGAGGCACCGGCAGCCCCGAGGCCTCCCAGCTCTCTCGTCTCTCTCTCTACGCGGCCGCCTTCAACCGGACCAGGCTTTTGGTGCCAGATCGAACCGCCATTTGGCCTTGATCGGTGGCTTTCAAGCTCTACCCTGCTCGCCTGCCTGCCTCCCTACCCTTGTTGTTGGCCGCCGTTCCTCTCCCTCCCCCCTCCCTCTATAGATGGCGACTTGCGAAGCAGCTTCCAGGCACCATCATGAACAGCACCGCGTCCCGCGGCAAAACCGAGACTGACGACGCACCGCTCCGGGCGCCATGGCGACGCCGGCCTGCAACCGCGATCCGCACCTGTCGGGCGAGCAGCCGGCCTATGTCGTCAAGCCAAGCGCGCGCCACACGCACACCGTCATCCTGCTGCACGACGTGGCCTCGAGCGGCAACATGTTTGGCCGCGACCTGCTGAGGGCCGGCCGGACCTCGTCGGGCAAGACGCTCGACCACCTCTTCCCGGGCGTCCGCTTCGTCTTCCCCACCGCCCAGCGCCGCCCCTGCTGCGCCCTCGGCCAGCTCAAGGTCGGCCTGTGGTTTGACATGGCCCGCTTCCAGGAGCCGAGCTTCCGCCAGGATCTGCAGCGCGAGAGCCTCTGCGTCTCTGCCCGCCAGATTGTCGTCCTCTTGCGCTGGGAGATGAGGCTGGTGCCCGCCACCAACATCCTCATCGGCGGCCTGGGCCAGGGCTGTGCCATGTCGCTCGTTGTCCTCCTGAGCCTGGGCTTCCGGCTCGGCGGCGTCATCGGTATGAGCGGCTACCTGCCTTTTCAGTTTGAGCTGCAGATGAACACGGCCGAGGACTCTTCGACTGACGACGACGACGACGACGACGACTACGATGACGAAGACGACGACGACGACTATTATGACGACGACGACGACGACGACGAAGAGTATGAAGATGACGATGGCCGCGAGAATGGCAGCAACGGCGCCCTGGAGCCGCAGGACCCCGTTGTGCGAGCCCAGATCTTCGAGAGGACGCTGCTGCAAATCAAAAACGCAGACTCCCCGACCAAAGAAAAGACCTCATGCGGCACGCCCATCTTCCTGGGCCACGGCGCCGACGACACGGCCGTCCCGTGCGAGCTGGGCGAGCAGGCTGCCGGGGCCATGAGGTCCGTCGAATACCAGGTGGAGTGGAGGTGTTACCCCGGGCTTGGGCACGGATACCACGTCCCGGGCGAGATGGACGATATTGTCGACTTTGTGCGGTCCAAGGTTGGGCTGGAGCCACGCGCCTAGCATCAGGGGAGGTCGTCTCCTACAGCATGCAGGCGTTGGCACGACGCTGCATGCTAGGATTTCTCCCATGTATTGCATCGGCCGGATAATTGGAAGAAGAATGGAGGAGCGGGGGTCTCTAGGTTGAAACTTCCGTCAGTATACACATGGTTCATGGCAGAGCACATTTCGGGAACCCCCTCGTCGCTCCTTTACACCGCCAAGCACCTCGGCTCGGGGAGGCTGCGCGTCAGCACCTCGAGATGTTCCTGGGTTTCAGGATTGCTCATGATGCAGATATCTCGCGCCTGCACAAGGCATTGGAGTCGTGGACCGCGGTCAAGTTTGCCACCGCCTTTGCGGAAAGTTACTGGGCCGAGTCGCAGGCCACCAGGGGCTTGAATCGACGGGGCTCTGAGCCCACGGTATCTCTCTTGTCCTAGAAGAATGAGATCACTTGCCAGCAGCTTCACTCGAAGGTTTTCAAACGCTGGAATTGCCGTCGGTCTGCAGGGGCGAGGATGACGTGCCATGCTAACAAGTTTCATCACATGCCGTGGTGCCGAGGTCGGTCGTGGCACAAGTGATGCCAACAAGCATCAGCCCCGGCCCCCAAGTGACCTCGGCTGGGTGTTATGATGTCGGCATGAAAGAAGTATCAGGAGAGATTGTGTTGGGCTCGTTTTTCAGTAGCCCCACGAAATGAATGGCATGAAGCCATTCGCGAGCCGAGATTGACCAGAGCGGTGGCAGCCCTCGTCATCAGCAGGTTTTCGTCTTCCTTGTGTGCTTCACAGCTTCGTCGAGCATGCCTGATAAGAGCGTGTGATGCGTACGGCCGAGGTTCTTTGCAACGCGTAGCGAAGAATCCCGGCACGAAGCAACACTTTGCTGTCGTTGGGACCGGAACGGGGATGCTAGATATCTAGAGGTCAGGCCATATGCAATGTGCGCCGCAGAGAAACGGGTTTTCATTCCCTCGTACCGCCCTATCCGCGGCAAAACCTGACCTGCTTGGGCCTCGACGGCCCGTCGCGCCGTGGCCCAACGGCAAGCAGCCGGTAGTCTCATAGGTCGCTGTGCCAAGCATGACGAGACCATTTGTGCGACGCTCCCTTGATGCACCGGCTCGGGCTCGCCGGAGTCTCCGTCTCCCTGCACTGCGGGTTTCCTGGCCGCCCCGCTTCCTTGGCCATTCCCATGGCTTCGTCGGCGTTGGTTCTGCCATGAGGTGATGGCGAGCGCTCGCTTCCATGTCTGCCGGTAAGCACGAGTCCCCGGCTGGTCTCCTTGGACACGAGGTTCCGCAAACAAACTTTGTCGCATCGGGGTTGACGGAAATGACCAACAGCGGGCAACATGCTGCGAGCATCGATCATTCTGATATGGAGAGCGAAGTGAATAGCAATCCGAAACAAACTGGTGTGTCTACGTAACATGATCGCACCATCGACGAGCCTTGTCCGATAGATTGTAGTTGATCCCACCCGGATCCTCTAATCATGTTGAAATGGCCACTTCGTACCCTAACTAGTTGCTTAGCTACTAGCGACATTCTACGGAAGCTCCCCATTCGCTCAAGATATAAGAGCTAGAAGATGGGCTGCAAGGCCCTTGCGGTGGTCCCTCCCTCCCCGACTGATTGGGCCTAAAGCGGCGGCGTGGGTTATGGTAAAGGTGCCTGTGGATTGACTCGAGGCGTCTATAATCAAGCCATCTATATACAATCAAGTCGGCAGACGTGCCATGTCTCCTAGATTTATGACTGAAAGAAGGAGCGCCAAAAGTCGATTGCGGAGGGTATCAAGAAGCAGTCGCTGTTAGCCGGGTTATCATGTTCATGATAACAAAGGCAGATAGAATGTTTGCCAGGTAAATGTATATAGACTCATTATCGTCAGTTGTAGACAGTGTGAAAGGCCTCTAGTGAGTTGATACAACTAACTAGTCCCTATGCTGTTTACTATCAAGATAGAGAAGAAAGAAAGAAAGAAAGAGAATCTACTACATGAGAGCACAATAGCATTTTATAGCTTCGAGCCAATGGAAGGTTCTAGAAGCTAGGCGGCGCAGCCGCCGTTAAAGCGGCTTGCCCGTTACATTACCTCCTCCCTTCCAACGTTTCCTCTTCCGGGGTCGTGGCAATCTGTGGCAAGATGACTTGAGAAGGTGACACTCCTTTATGCTTCTTCCATTGCTTCCATGCATCGGTGTGTCGAATAGTAGTAAGGGGTTCCCACGTAGGCTGCGAGTAATCATGCCATTTTACGAGCACCTTCTTATGCGTACCTTCCATTCTTTCATCCAGAATTCTTTCAACAAGGTACATCTTTTCGCCGTCCACCAGCACCGGTGGGGCACTCTCTTGATCGAGTTTCTGCGAAGGCAATGGGTCTCCGGGGACTGGCCGGAGTAGGTCGACGTGAAAGACTGGATGGATGCGCCCAGGCACATCCAACCTGTAGGCATGTGGGCTAACTTCCGCGAGCACTTGATATTTGGCATGTAGCCAATCGAGCTTCTTGCAGGGTCGCGATGTTTTGACATTTCTCAAGTTGAGGTATACCCAATCCCCAGGCTCGTATCTCGGTGCGGCTGTCCTGTGCTTGTTGGCTTGCGCTTGCTGTATTTCCTGGGCCATAGCTATCGCTGCTTGCGCAAACTCCGTGGCGTCCTGTAGTCTCTGAATAAAATCCTCCGCTGTCGCTTCCCCCTGCGTCGTGTCTTCCGTTCTTCGATGCTCAACTAATTGGATTGGCTCGTTGTGGTAGCCGTGCATGAAGAAGAACGGACTCAGTCCGGTGGAGGTTGCTTCCTCTCGTTAATAGTCGCCATCGCGATTGGAAGCAAGTCTAACCAGTTCTCCTGCAGATAATTCGTCCATATCCGAAGAATCCTCTCTACCTCTTGGTTCATTCGTTCTGTTGCACCGTCGGTTTGTGGATGGTACGCCGTCGACAACCGCTGCTCGATCCCTAGCATCTGACAGAAACTTTTCCACATACCACTGACAAACTGGGGACCCCGATCACTGGTTATAGCCGTTGGGATGCCATGGACAGGGTAGTGTCGTTCGAAGAGTCTTCTTGCAACCGCTTCTGTGGAAATATCGTTCAATCCTTCGAGTTCGACGCCTTTGGTGAGTCGGTCCGTGACCACCATGCAGTTCGTCGCGCCATCTTTCCCCGACGGTGGGAGGTCAGTAATAAAGTCAATGGTAATTTCGCTCCATATGCGTTGCGGAATAGGGAGCGGCTTTAGGAGTCCTTTCTTTGTATCCCTCCAGATGGTGTTTCGTCCGCAAACCTCGCAGTTGCGCACAAACCGACGTACATCGCTAGCGGCACCCGGCCAGAAGAAGCGTCTCGACAGAGTCGAGTACGTGAGGTCCCTTCCAGGATGTCCGGTGATATGAGAGTCGTGAGTTTCCTGGATGATCTTTGTACGTAGCGGCTCCGAACCGGGTATCCAGACGCGTTCTCTAAAGCACAGCAGGCCTCTATTGTCTAATGAGCATTCTGAAATGCTGACAACCTTCTCCTTCTGTAAGTCTGTTGGCACACTCTTCGCTCCATCTGCTACCAGCTTCGTGAGTTCTTGATAAAGCTTGTCTTCTTGCCGTGCGGCGTGCCACAGCTGCTGTAACTCCTCATCTTCAAATATCCTGATCTCTTTTCCGAAGTTGATTTCCTGGGCACCCTCGGTGTTGGTAGACAATGTCGATATTGGGACCCTTCTAAGGTGATCATTTTGGAATAGCCTCATAATGCGTCCCTTTAGTCGTTCATCGGAGTAGTTGGCCGGCATATCCTGGTCCCGTCGAGAGAGTGCGTCAGGCAATCCGCCCTTGCGGCCCGGCCTCCATTCGAGCTCGAATTGGAACCTGGACAGGAACTCCGACCACCGCACTTGTCTCTCTGTCAACCTCCTTTCCGAGTAGAAGTACCTCAGGTTCTTGTGGTCCGTTAGGATCTTGAAGTGCTCTACTGCCCGTAGCTCTGGTTCCCACTGCTCCAAACATCTGAGAATGGCGAGTAGCTCCTTGTCATGGATAGCGTAGTTCGCTTCGGCTGCCGAATGTTTCTTCGAGAAGTATGCGACAGGTCGTACCAGTCCATCCTTATCATCTCTCTGCAAGAGCACGCCTCCCGACGCGAATCCTGAAGCGTCTGCTTCCACGATAGTCTCCCTTTCTGGATGGAAGTGTGCAAGGATCGGGGCCGTGATCAACAAGTCCTTGAGCTTCTCGAAGGCTTCTTCGCACAATTCATCCCAACGGAATGGCACGTCCTTCTTCGTTAGCCGCGTTAGCGGCTCCGCTATCACCGAGAACTCTGGCATAAACATCCTGTAGAAGTTCGCGAATCCAATAAAACTCCTCACGGACTTAACATTCGTCGGGTTGCCCATTCCTTCACAGCCTCAACCTTCTCAGGGTCGACTCGGATCCCACACTCCGCCTCGATGATAAACCCAAGGTATTTCACAGCCTTGACTTCGAATTCACTCTTGTTGATATCCAGTTGCAGCCCGGCGTCCATCAGTCGTTGGAGGACCTTGCCGACCTTGTCGCGGTGGTCTTGCAGGCTTCCAGAGGAGAAGATCAGGACATCGTCGATATATGCTGACACAAAATCGTCTAGGTAATCCTGGAGCGCGCTGTTAATGTACCGCTGAAAGGCTGCTGGTGCGCCTGTCAGGCCGAATGGAACTACCAGCCATTCGAAGGATCCATAGCGCGTTCTGAAAGTTGTCTTTTCCTCGTCGCCGGGGGCGACCCTGATCTTATGGAACGCTGCTATAACATCTACCTTGGTGAACCACCTTGCCTTGGCTATCGTTCGCAAGGTCTCGCTCAGTAAGGGCAAGGGATAGCGGTCCTCTTCGTTATATGGTTCAAACCTCTGTAATCCACGCAGAAGCGGATGCCTCCGCCGGGCTTCTTCACCATAAGGACTGGTGCCGCGGCTGGCGAGCTGCTGACTCTAATAAATCCCTTGTCGAGTAGTTCTGTGAGAGTCTTCCGTAGTACCAATAGCTCCTCGCGGGACATGCTGTAAAGCGGTCCCCAGGGTAGGGCTTCTCTCGGCCATGCTCGTCTTTCAGCACTTCGATCTTCAGGTCCACACCTGGCCGATGAGGGGGCAGCTGGTCGGCCAGTTGCTGAGAGAAAGCTCGAGACCACTTGTGGTACTGTGGTGGCAGCTTCTCCATTACGTCAGTCTTCGGTTTCGGTCTTAGGGCCTTGTCAATATCCGCCATCGTGACCGAGTGAACTCCAATGCCGCCTTTGCGTTTGTCACGGCGTGCTTCTGCTAAAAGGTTGCGGCCATGACATTAGAGACATCTAGCTGTGGAGGCTGGTAACGTCGTCGGTCTCGTACTTGAACTCCATTGGACCCGATCTCGAGATATCCTTCCTTCGCATGGATGTGAACATCCTGGTCTTCCATCCATCGTTTACCCAGGATCATATCCCAGTTCAGATCGTCGATGACGTACATGAAAACACGATGCTGCTGATGTCCATCGAGGTCGATCGACACATACGTGATCTTGTCGATTTTGACCTCCTTGCCGTCTCCCGCTGCATTCTCCAAGATGCGCGGCTGGACGCGTATATGTGGCAACTGGAGAGAGTGAAATGTGCGCTTGCTAACCGCGCCGTAGCAGAGGCAGCCATAGTCGACAAGAGATGGCACGAAGTCTGTGCCGTTCACCCTGACGTCTGCTATGAACGGTTCTCCGTCCATTTTGCTTTTCCGCTCACATCCCATTCTCTCACAGCCGCCGCGTGTCCCTAGTCTGAATCTTCATCGTTATGAGAAGAAGTATCGTCTTCGGCGACCTCGGCTTTAGTGACCGCTGGTCGTGACGGGGTCACGGCATTGACCTGAGTGCGTCGGGTCGTGTTTGCGGGTCGGATAGGCGCAGCCAATGGACAGCGCTCGATTCTGCAGTTGTCTCTTCCACAACGGAGGCAACGCCCTTCACGGTAACGGGCGTCCATCTCGGCCTGGTCGACCCACTTGGCACGCTTGCCCAACAGCGCTTGGTCTTCTGGTCGCTTGGATTGGTAACCATATGTGTTCTTATCACTGCGGGTGCGCGCAGCGTTCACTTTCGCGGATGCTTGTAGAGTTGGTTCCCATTCCATCATATCCTCTCGTCTAACTTCGGTTTTCTGGCCAGGCTGTTTCTGGGCAGCCTGGCCTCCATGATTCTGGTGGTTGTCATAGTTGTCCGAACTCTTTGTGTTGCCTCGAGGCCTTTTCCACTGACCCAACAATTCCATCTGGCTGCTCAGCGAATCGCACCTCCTCGCCAGCCCAACATAGCTGCTGATGGCAGAGGGTCAGAGCCTATGAGGGCTGCTTTCATTTTATCGTTTAGTGCCTCCTGGAGGTAGGAAATCTTGCTGTCATCTGGCCAATACTTGGCGTTGGCATTGGCGATCTCCTCTCAAAGCGGGGTAAAAGGACGTGAACGGTTCATTCTCTCCTTGCTTAATCGAATGCAGGTTGCGTGTAGCTCTCTGCTTGCGATCCCTCTCCCGTACAGCAATTCGAGGCGGTTGAGTAGTTCAGCAACATTGAACGTTTTCTTCTCGGTTTGCATCTCCACAAATGTGGTCACGTTGTCTTTAGCCTTGCCTTCTAGGCTCATGAAGATGTACATAAAGTGGCCTTCTGCATCTCCAAGGGCTTCTTTGTCGACTCGTAGCTTTCCTTCGGTTTCTAGTTTCCAGCTTCGCCACTGGGCCTTGTCGCCGCCGAATTTCGGTATGTCTCGTAATTTGGGGCGCTTGGTTGGGTGAGGGTTGTGAGTGGCGACCACACGAGTGTCCTCAATGGGGACAGCCGGGGTGACAGATGGCGTTGGCTCTAGGAGTTCAGACGAACGGGCTTGCTGGTGTTGTTGGAGTTCCAGGGCAATAAAACGTTCTTCAAACTGGGTGTTTCTTCGGGAACTCTCTTCTCTCAGACTTCGTATCTCGGCAACCAGGGCGCTGAGGACGTCCGGCTGCATGTTGTTGTTATCTTCGGCCATCGCGACTTCGCTGAACGCTAATAGTTCGACGGGACTCAGTTTGGTGTCTTCAGTGTCTTCGGTGTCTTCGGTGTCTTCAGTGTCTTCGGTGTCTTCAGTGTCTTCAATGTCTTCAGTGATCTTGATAGTATGTGAAAGGCCTCTAGTGAGTTGATACAACTAACTAGTCCCTATGCTGTTTACTATCAAGATAGAGAAGAAAGAAAGAAAGAAAGAGAATCTACTACATGAGAGCACAATAGCATTTTATAGCTTCGAGCCAATGGAAGGTTCTAGAAGCTAGGCGGCGCAGCCGCCGTTAAAGCGGCTTGCCCGTTACAGACAGCACCTTAGGCTAGAGATGCATATATTGTCCACAGGTCAAAAGAAGCAATATAAAGACCAAGGGACGACGTACGATGACGCCATATGCCTGCTCTATACTTTTCCGCTCCACGAACCACCACTATGCTTGGGCAAGGGCAATTAAGAGCGCTACTGGGTACTGTAGGGCTCGTGCAGTGGCTCATCGGTCGTAAACTTCTTGAACCTGACTCTCGCTAGAGTTGAGCCTGGTTGGTGCCATCAGTGGCCAATGCATATATATAATCGATATATTCAGTAACAGGAGGAGTAGCGTAGCGCCACTGCCACATCTTCATTTGTTTCAGAGATAAAGGGATAAGCAGGGAAGCAGAACTCTACGACATCCTCCCAAGCAGAAGTATAGACTACGGTTTTTTAAGGAGCATTAGGCAAGATAGTAGCCTCCTGATAACAGGGCAGGCGACTCTGAAAAGAACCCTCAAAGAGTCGCTAACGTTGCTTACTGGCAGGGTCATCAAGCTTCGCGATAACAGACGGCATAGGGCAAGGGAAGAAACTCCGCCTCATTGAGTCAACAGCAAAGTCATGTGAGTCTCACTCCCTACAGGCAAGTCGGCCAAAGCTAAGAGGGGTAGACAGACAGTGACGCATGCATATGATCGGTCCTGTCGCCCTCCAAGTGCTTCAAGGAACCCCAGCGAATATTAACAACCCGAGGGATAGGCTATAACTTGTCGTATTGGCCAAAGAGTCGGCAGACAGAGCCTCTTGGGCTATGAGACATGACCCGGACAAAAGATTCGCATCTCAGGACTAGGAACCTAGTCTTAGGTTGGTCCGCCCTTCTGCAGTCTTAACCTTCTTGCCGGGCCGTTTACCATGGGACAACTAAGCACGGCTGTCCTAATACAGAAACTCCACAGGGCGAGCAAAGAAACCATCAAGATGTCAGCAGACACTAAAGCCCGAAAACCCCGGCATGCATCTGAGCTTACAACGAGCTGCGAGCCATCCGCTGCACATCAGCTGCCGCACGACCGGCAGCAGCGTAGCTCGGCAGGAGGTGACATGATAGTACTACGCCATGTGCTATGCGTGACATGGATGAAAGCCGGCTTCACGATCTATCACAATGTTGGGACCAGGGTTGCGATTGGACCGATCAAGCATGCTGTAATGCGGGACATGGGCACGTATCGCGCACCCACGGATGACGCTCGTGCTTTGTGTACTGTACATATGTATGTATGAAGTATATTAGCACTCACTAAAACTTCGTGTACAGCCACTTTGAGATGTCAGATTGGGTAAAGGCCATTGCAGCTAGGAGTTCACCTCGGCTCGGCACCTCTGGGCCCCCGACGGTGACGAGACGCACCTCGTGAAACCAACCGCACGGCAGAAGAAACAAGGGGTTGCGAGACTGCAACCAATCAAGCCTTCTCGTTTTATCTGCGATCATCCATCATCTGCAGTGTGTTCACGACGGCGCCCACCGGCCGGATTTCAAGGCTCTTCGTGACCGGCTTGGGCGCCTCAAACACCTCTGCGAGCTCCTGCAGCGTGCGGTCCTTGGTCTCGTGGAAGTACAAGTACGTGAAGACGGCGTCGAAGAGATCACAGAAGACAAATGCGACATTGAAGTAGTTAGCCAGTCTTGTCAAGGCCGGGCTGCTGCAGTACAGGACGACGGTGGAAGCCAGGCACCCGGCAGGATGGCGCGCGTTGACGCCAGCTGCGTCTCAGCATATACATGGACTGTAGCGGAGTCAAGCTAAGGGTATCTGTCATGAGGAGGGCCCTCAGGGAGCTGAGCTCAGGATGGAATTGATGCCGGTGAGAGGTATAATATAGGGTATATAGTTAGACTAGGTCTACTAGCAAGCAGTTTAAATAGATAGTTAGCCGCTATAAGTGGAAGGGGGGTCTAGGAGGTCCTTCTTAAAGGAAAGTCGAATTATAGGTATATGATATTATATATCATTCGCCCTTAAGGCTTGACCTTTAGCCGTTAAGCTCCTTATATTAATAACTTAATAGGTATTTAAAGCATTTTATCTTCTATATTAACTTAAATATACTACTTAACGCTAAGCGTAAGCAGAAGCCTACTAGAGAAGATAGTATAAGCAATATTAACTTTATATAATATAGAGGCTATTCTTAGAGTAGGGAGATAAACTAGCCGCTATCTTAAAGTAACCTCTCCGTAACTATAACCTATAATAACTATAGTATCCTTAAAAACGAGAAGCTTATTGCTTTTATAGAGATAAAGGCAGACTAAGAAAAGGCTTAAGTGCGCCTATATAACGAGTTCGATAACTAGGAGGCTATTTTAATATACCTTTATAATACCTACTTACCCTCAAGCGTATAATAGTTATAGTGCTTTATTAAAAAGCATTATAACCTCTGTTGAGGAGAGTGGGCATAAGAGGCCAGAGTCATGCTTAGTGGACCTAATAGTTATGCACAAGGGAGCCTGCCTGACCAACATGACTCCCCTAGTCCAAGGGCATGATGTGGGCCTGACTTAAGTACAGGAACATCCCAATGCCCTCTTTTGGCTAGCTATTTGTGGTCACTGTACCTATATAAGCCCCCGCCTTGTCCCAATAGATCAAGACATGCATCATCAAGTTCACCTTTCTATATCCCTATTTCTTCCACTGTGCTCTCAAGCCTCTGCTTGAGAACTTCTATATCTAGGTAACGTATAGTATAAAGGCAAGCAATAATAATTTTAAGAGCTATCTGCTTAATAGAATAAACTATCTATTTAAGCTCGTTAAAGCGATAAAAGGCATATTAGGTAATTAAGAACGAGATTTTATTAACAACTAAATATAGGACGAATTTTTAACCACGCGTACCTAATCTAGCCCTAGCTATAACCACCTAGGAGAGCTCTATATAACTGCATCTTAAATAGGGGCTTAATCTTATTGCCAGGGAATACCGCTACGCCTTGAAAGCGATACCAAGTATGTCTCGCCCTTGGCTAGAATAGATCGGAGAGTGCGGCGAGAACTATTCTGTGTCCTAGCGACTAGGGATTTCTTGCCGCCATACGATCTACTGCAATTGGAAGCAGGCGAGCTCTTAAGGAGGTGGGATGTCCACCCACGGTGGCATCTATAGGGGCCTTCTTCACGGGACCCTTACCGCCGAATCCTAGATCCCAGGATCACAAAGAGCCTCCACGGACGACCTAAAAATACTGTATAGCCTATTCCTACGAGTGTGGTGGTTAACCAAGCGGGTAGCCGACGCCGAAAGAGTCAGATAGTGGCGGGCAAGAAGACGGCCATCCTCAGGTCGGGCAAGACGACAGGCGTTCGGGCTACTGGGCGCAGAAGTCGACCGAGCGTACGGAGGCAGCAGTCGGAGTGGGAGCTCATAAGTGATAATGAGAAGCAAGCGCCGCGACCGAGCTCGACTGGTCGTTTGGGTTCCCGTAAGCCGCCCGCTGCCTCAGTGAGCTCGACTGCACCGAACCCGCGCAGCGAAACTGGCATCAGAGAGTGGGTTATTGTTCGGACAAGCGAGAGGGTGACTAGATCCATGGCATCTTCGCAGGGTGCGTTGGAAATCTTGCCTTCCTCGCGCCTATAACGGTAGGTTCTGGCTGTGCATATATGTCACTGCCTGCTGCGTAAATTTTCTCTGTATCGATTCTCAGAGTACCGGAAAATAGTGTTAAAGAGCTGGACGGGCGCATCATAGTAACTCATTGAGTAGCGATGACAAGGCTATCAGATTGGCTGTAGAAGAGGTCGTCTTAGATGTTGTGTGGATGAGTGGGTGCTCTCACCGCCTGTGATGGGCTGAAGTGGCGTCTACGACGAATCATCCATACAGCCCGTGCAAGGAGCGCCCGGCTAGTAAAGTGGTTGGGCCCGTATATCAATTGGCTTCAGTATATGCCTGAGCTTACATATGTGCATACAAGTAGATCATGGTGCTCATATCTCATTTACCAGTTGAACCCCTAACCCCTTTGTCAACCAGCATTCCAGTTCCTGCCGTATATGCTTACGGAAAGCAGAGCCCTTTTATTTGCTAGCTCCGTTGAAAGCGAGAAGGTTGACGGTGCCGTCAGGGACACCGGACAGGGCGTTCTTGGTGGCAAGTTCCTGGATGCGGCTGCAAAGAGCCTGAGGGCTGCTGAAGCCCTCAAGGGCAGCGAGGTAGGCACCGAGACCGGTGATGTGGGGAGTGGCCATGGACGTGCCAGAGATGGTGTTCTGCAAAAGTAGTGGTGGTTAGTGAAAGAGCCCCAACTTGAAGACTTGGCTGTCTCGGGGATTTAAACTCACAGTTCCACCGTTCAGCCAGGTCGAGAGGATATTGGTGCCCGCAGCGAAAATTTTGACCGGCGCGCCATAGTTGGAAAAGGAGGATCGGTTGTCTGAGATGTCGGAGGCGCCGACGGTGCAGACAGTCGGCTCAGAGGCGGGTGAGGTATTGGAGGCGTCCGAGTTGTCGTTACCGGCGGCAACGGCAAGGAATACGCCCGATTGAACGAGGGCCGCAGCTGCCTGGTTAATTGACGCAGAGTAGCCGCCGCCTAAGCTCATGTTGGCGACGGAGCCCTTGGGGCAGCTGCGCGACGAGTGGTCCTTGGCCACGAAGTCCATGCCAGCAATGACGCCGGAGACAGCACCGCTACCCGCATCAGAAAGAACCTTGACACCGTAGATGTTCGTCTTTTTGGCTACGCCGTAGGTGCGCGAGCCAATGGTGCCGGCGCAGTGGGTGCCATGGCCGTTGCCGTCTGTTGTCTCGCCATCGATGAAGCTCTTAAGCATTTGGGCTCGGCCTTCAAATTCCTAAGCGGGAAATTAAGCGACTTATATCTATTTACTTTGAGTCGAAAAGCATACAGGGTGCGTGTCGTCGACACCAGTGTCAATGACGTAGGCGCAGGCGCCCTCGCCGGCGGTGTCGTCGTAGAGGTAGTCGGTAGTGCCGGGCTCGCGGTGAGAAATACGAGCGAGGCCCCAGTCAGCACCCTGCTGATCAGTGACGCTATTGATGGTGATGATGGCATCTTGCTCAAGGTAGTCGACCTATCCAACGTCAGTGAGACTTCGACTAAGAAAGGGGGGGGGGACTTACATCAGGGTTATTACGGAGAGCCTGGACGTCCTTGTCACTCAGTTGGCTAGCAAAGCCACGGAAGGCGTGCTTGTAGACGTGGTCGGCGTTTGCAGAGAGGGCCTCAATCGTCCTGTCGACCGAGGCAATCGAAATACCATCCTTAAACTTGACAATATACTTGCCCGGGATGAGCCGGCTGGCGTCGCGGGGAGCAACGACGGGCGCGGGCTCGGCACGCTTGACCACGGGGCTAGCCAAGATGGCAGGGATGATGCTAAGGAAGATAGACAGCTTCATGGTGAACTGCTTTCGCGAACGTTTCCAGAAATAGACAGAGACTGGCAAGAGCAGTAGAAAGCAGGGGATCAAATTTTTGCGTGAGGATGGAGGGCCATAACTTGATTTCAGAGAGGCAAATGCCTTATATTTATATTCAAGTCCAACAGCAATATGACTTAAGTTTGAGTAAACTCGGCACTGAACTCCGTGATGCTATTAAGGGGCATCGACAACCACTATCGTTACCTGCCTAAAGTGGCAGTTCTATATGCTGGCGAAATAACGAGGACCGAGTGATTCCGCGATTTCATATGTTCTTTCCTGTTTTGCGGTAGTCGAAAAGAAGAGACACCCCCTTTTGTCGACGTCCGGTGGCAGTTGGTCAGGCTGGGGGAGCAGAGCATAGCGTTAGCGAAAGCTAGTGGCATCCAACCAACTCTCAAGTTCTAGAATAAGTGTAGCTCGTCCTACAAGTCTCGGCCAACTGGCTTTAGGCACGCCAAGACCTGCTAAAAAAGCTGCCCTCCGCACGGAAGGTTGCTTTTTCCTGGGGGACGAAGGGGGCAGGGGCCATGGCGCGAGCGTGAGTTAGCGTGTTCCCGGAGGCTTCTAGTGTCATCGTCGGTCTCGCGGGCCTCGGCGATGGAATCTTGGGCACCGCGTGACGCAGCAATTCCTTAGGCCTGCCATCATGGCGATGCGGCGGCATTAACGGCTTGGCGTGCGGCGGGCCTTACACTTGTCGAACTGGCCAAGGCGCGATACATGCATATGAAACAGGCACCGTCTTTATCCCAAAGCACCTCCTTCGCACACGACACCGATCACGAAACCCTGCGTTGCCATTTGTGCCCGCGGGATACTGTCGTTTTCTGTCTTGCACCTCCGTCGCATATGGCCTCGCGTCTGCCATCGATTGCGACAGCCCATAGACTAACTCCGGCCGTTGCACTGCCTTGCAAGGACACGCTGACCTGTCCCCTACGTGGCGTCATTCTAACCCCCCAGCCAAGAAGGGCAGCTGAATCTAATGCCACCACGGACAACTGGCCTTAACGCAGTGCCCGTGGAGAAACCTCAAGCAGGTGCCCTTTTGTCCAGTCGGCCCTTGCACTTGGCTCTTCTCGTGTGCTGCCCGTGGTTAGTTATCCGGCTTCCTATTCCTGCCACGGCCGTCGATACGTGGCGCCAAGGGGGGGGAGGTTTCTGCTGCTGACACGAAGCCCGTTATCGCCTCTTTCGAGAGAGACCAACAAGCACCTAGGCTGCTGGCACTCCGTTACGACGCCCCATATGCCCTTTTAGTCCTAGCCAAAGCACCTCGTGTGGCGTTGCAAAATGCGGAGTGCATACCTTGCTGGGGGGGCTCCAATTCTATTTACCTCTTCGGGCAACTCGATTAAGTATCCAATGGCAACTCGCCCCCTGCCACCGCCGTCTTGTGACGACCGGAGGAGGAGAAAAGCCAAGGCTCATGCACACCACATTTCTCTTCGGTCAAATTCGACATTCTCATTTAAGCGACCGTCACGTCGCGACTTACCGACCTTGGGCAGGCAACGTGGAATCCTTTAACTCCAGAATTAAACGAGGAATAAGGTGCTCCATGGAAAGATGCCCGGGTTGGCTTGATTCTTTTCAAAACCGACACGAACTAGACGGTGCGCATTTCTATTTATAGCATCGAAGGCAATACTTTGTTTTCACGGGTTCGAACTATTAGTGTAAGTAATACTATATATACACGCATATATCTCCATTCACAGTTATACTTGCCCCATTTTAAAGATGTATACCATCGCCAGCCCGCCCCACCCATTTATATCGCGCGCGCCTAGCAAGTAGCGATACCGCCTAAATGCGCATACACACACACGCAATGCGGTCTCGTCCACAGCGCATTTTTGGCCATATAACGCATGCCTCTCAATTTGTTCAAACAAGGCATTTCCGAGCCTTCAGCTCGAAGTTATAACATCCAGGCCCGCCAATTGATCCGGCCCCTCTGGCCCGCGGCGGCGGAGGGCATCGCGGCGGCGGCAAGCCGGGGTTTGTGCGAGCGAGGTGGCGATAGCTTCGAATCTCGTGTGTGTGGGGGGGCCGGCGAGGGCGTTGGTGAGTGCGGCGGGCGGGCGCAGGCGCGGGTATGTCGGCGGGTGCGGGCATTTAGGGCGGGTAGAGCTACTTGCCAGGCGCGCGCGGTACAAATAGGCCGGGCGGGCTGGCGCTGGTACCTACAGGGATTACGACGGTACAAGCGAACATGCGCACTAAATTTATATGGGGCAAGTCTTCCTGCACGTCTACCTCGCTTTTTGCGAGGCGCTGTGGATCAGGGCCTGAGTCAGCTCTCGGAGTCATCGTTTGCACTGTGCAGTCAGCGCGAGAGAAACTCACTGCGAGGAGCCGTGAAACTAGGCGCCCATTCGCGTCACACGACTGCTTCCATCTCGTGGCCATTCATCGCCTCAAGAAAGACAGATCCAGATCACGCTCATCGACATGGCGAGCAGCAACGAGGAGCTGCTCCGGCGCCCTCTCTACGGTGAGATCGGGCTTCTGCCCAGCCTGCTCCGCTGATGAGCTGACCGTCGGACCGCAGTCTATGACCTTCCCGGTCAAGTGTTGGAAACGTTGACGCTCAAGGACGACGCCGACACGGCCGGAGTCGTGGGCAGAGAACCGTCTCCGGCGCCGAGCTCAAGCGTCGCGGCCGACAATTCCGTTGGCTCCCAATCTTGCTCTTTATGCGGCTTGGCCTTCACTGCTGTTCTGGATCAGCGCAGCCACCTCAAGTCCGATCTCCACCACTACAACCTCAAGCAGAAGATGCGGGGGCAGAAGCCTGTCTCCGAGGCAGAGTTTGACAAGCTGATCGGGGACCTGGACGAGTCGCTGTCGGGGTCCGACTCGGACGACTCTGACGACGACGAAGATGATGGGCGTCCAGAGTCGACACTGACAGCCCTGCTGAAAAAGCAAGCCCGTCTGGCCGACAGGAGAGGCGACACAGAAGGCAACGACCCGGGCGAGGGCAGCGCAGGCAGACGCAACCGGGCTAAGCCGCCTCTGCTCTGGTTCAGCTCGCCCATTCTCCCTGCCAAGACGTACTTTGGCCTATATCGGGCCATTCTGACGGGCGAGGACCAGCGCAATGCTGATCTCGTCCAAGTCCTCAAGCAGAAGCAGGTCGCACCCATATCAATGCCAAACCGTGCCAAGGACGGAACGCTACCGCCAGTGGCATACAAGGGACCGCATGTCTTCCTCTGCATGATAGGCGGCGGCCACTTCGCTGCCATGGTGGTCTCCTTGGCCCCTCGCTCGTCCAAGGGGGGAGGAACATCTATGAACAGAGAGGCCACCGTGCTGGCCCACAAAACCTTTCATCGATATACCACGAGACGGAAACAGGGTGGTTCCCAGTCGGCAAACGACAACTCCAAGGGCAATGCCCATTCTGCCGGTTCCAGCTTGCGCCGATACAACGAGCAAGCGCTGGTCACTGATGTTAGAGCCCTTCTTGGAGATTGGAAAGCACTGCTAGACACGTCGGAGCTCCTCTTCATTCGCGCCACTGGGACCACGAACCGGAGAACGCTCTTTGGCCCATACGAGGGACAGGTTCTGCAGCACAACGACACGCGCCTCCGCGGCTTTCCCTTCAACACGAGGCGTGCTACCCAAAATGAGCTTATGCGGTCCTTCATCGAGCTCACCCGCCTCAAGGTCCGAGAGTTTGATCCCGCCCAGGAGGCCAAGGAGGAGCAGCCAGCGTTGGCGCCGACAAAGGCGCCGAGCTCCAAGCCGACCAAACCCAAGTTATCAGAGGAGGAGGAAACAGCGCTCTTGCACACCTCGCAGCTGCAGGCATTTATTCGACGCTCGAAGCTGCCTGCTCTTCTCGTGTACCTCGGCAACAATAACCTGAGCCCGGACTTTGAATTTCAACCGTCGGACCAGCATCATCGCACGCCTCGGCCACTCCACCTTGCGGCCACTCAGAACTCGGCACCTTTGGTTCTGGGAATTCTGACCAGAGCAGGCGCCGACCCGCTCGTAAAAACCGTCGAGGGAAGAACCGCGTTTGAGCTCGCAGGAGATCGGTCGACACGTGACGCGTTTCGTGTTGCGAGATCGGAGCTGGGCGAAAGCAAATGGGCGTGGGACGAAGCAAAGGTGCCGTCGGCGATAACCAAGGCGGAGGCCGACCGCAGAGAGGAGCGGGAGAAGAAAGACGCGGAGAGGAAGGAGTCGGAAAGGCGAAAGGCCGAGGAAGAGCGGCTGCGGTCTGAAGGCCCGTTGGTAGCTGACAAGAAACCCAGGGGCAACACTCTGGGAAACGCACTCACCAAGACGCCCCAAGAGCGCCGAGAGGAAGAAGCACGAGGACTGACACCCGAGATGAGCATGCGGCTCGAGCGGGAGAGGAGGGCCAGGGCGGCCGAGGAGCGGCTGCGGAAGATGACGAGCGATCGATGACCACGCAGCTCAAAGGCACGCCAGGCCATGTAAGCTGGCCTGGATGAACAGAGTCAGCATGGGAGGACAGAAAGGCTGTGAAGGAGCTGTTTTTTGTCTGTTCGCTCAGCTCGGGGCGAAAACGACCGTCTGGAGCGAGAGCTGCCCGAGCCGGTTGGGCTCCAGGAGCCGGGGGATGATTGTGCGGGTGCCTGCCAGCAAGCAAGTCAGCTTTGACCAGCCTTGGCAGCCAAAAGGAGCAAGAATTTCTCGTATTTCGTCTTGTGTTACCAGTTTATGCAGGCTGGCATGGGCATTGTGAGGGAGTGGTAGCAAAAAGGCCGCCCCCTTCGGTGGATTCTGCCCATCGAGCCCCGGATATCTTTTCAAATGCTTAAATGCTCCAGCATCTAATGCACTCTTATGAAGATCTATGCCGCTGCCGCGTCTGTCGATGAGCTCGCAAAGTTGTGGCATCTGCCGGTGTTGGTGAGACGGAACCACTGACCCCCGGACCCCGACCCCCCGACCCCTGGACGCGCCACCATTCACATTACGGACATACAAAGGACTCCTACCGAGAGGATATGCAGCTCAAGGCAGAGAAACAGAGTTCAATTCATGTTCGCTCGCTGCACACTGCTCTGTTCCGGTGTTATGTCCAGTCGGATGGCCTCGGGGTGTCGGCGCGGGTTGTCTTGGCGAGGCCAGAGGCGGGCCAGAGGCTGGCCAGAGGCAGGTCAGAGGCTCGGCTGTGGGAACTGGCAGTGAACACGCCTATCCTGACGCTGAGAAGCAGTCCAGTTCACTCGTCGAGAGCTTCCTGTTCTTTGCTCGGCATAGCCTGTCCACGGGTTCAAATAGGACTGGGAGGGGAGTGCTTCCTGCTTGATTTGCTTTCCTCCTCCAACATCTCTTGCCAGAGTTCGACTGTTACAAAGTCTTGAAAACATTTCAAAACATAATCGAATCAAACCACACCATGCGCTGCAAGTATTGCAACGCAAACTTTAGGGGTACCCCGACGCCCTGCCTCTGCAGAAGGGATGACGGTCGCCAAACGCCACTCCAAATCGAGATGGCGCTCCTGTCTGAGGCCACAGGAACGGAATGCCAAATGGGTGACACGGATATGCAAATGTCGGCAACTGGACGGGCCTCGCTACCCCGTGGACGCCACAACCCGCCGGCCCCCAAGGCCTCAGGCAAGGAAGCACTTGTGCCACAGCCCAACCCCTTGGGCAAAATGGGGACAAAGTTCCTCTACGCCCGTGGTTCATATGGCAAGAGGCTGCTTTCTCCAAGCTGTGGGAATCTCCACGCCGAGGCAGAACGTTGAGCTTGATGGCCCGCCAAGTGAGTAATGGCCAACGCTAGAGACGAGCTCTTGCTTACATTTACAACAGAAGTACGGGTTCACCGCGAATGTGCTTCCAATTTTGGAGGAAGGGCTTCTTGTTCTGGAGGATGGGATGCCGCTTTTGTCTTGTCGACGCCCCTCCGCCACGGCTCCGACATGCCCCCATAACCACTGGCGGCTACCGGCCACCCGACCAAGCTGCCCGTTGATTAATGTTAGCAGCATCAGAGGCATCAAACGACAGCCAATATACTGTTCAGCCACGAGTGTCTCCGAATTAATATTAAAAATCAGCCACGCCTAAAATGGAGGCCGTCTCGGGCAGGTGGCCGATTTGTCTTCTCTCTCTTATAGGCTCCCTTGACAGTTGTTAACTCGGGTACATCACGGAGCCCAACTCCTCGCATCGTGATTTGACCCAACCGTGGTGATTGGTGACCGTGTCTGCCATGTCTCGGACAATCGTTACCATCCACCACCTGAAGGGATTCCCAAACTCTCCCGCCGATCAAGAAGCCACATTTTGGCGTCCTCAATCCCGCTCTCAGCATGATCGAACTGCCACGCCAAAAGGCCATCAAGTGCCGTCTTGAGAAATTGGCCACCCTTCTGTAGACCAAAAATTCTCTGGATCTCATTTCCGTCCAACAACGGGCGCTGCAGGTGGGCATCTCGCAAGCCATTGTCATACACGAAACCGGCAAAGGCCGAGTACCTAGTGAGTAGCGGCTCGTCCAACGAGGGGCTGCTTCCCGAAGTCACTAGTGAAGACGACGTCTGCGCAGCATAAACGGCTTCGGCTAGCATGACGTACGTTACCTGCGTGGTCCACGTTGCGCCCCAGGAGCGAATGGCCATGCCTATACGGCTCCGCGGAGGAGATTTCTCCGATTGAAGGGCGATGGTGTCCACGATGGTACGAATCGAATCGAAATTCTTCAGTGCGCTCTCAAAAAGTTTAGATATCTTGGCGGGGGCTCGGATGGCCATCGTCGCCTCGTCGACTATCTGTCGGAGCATAGCCTGTCGTAGCCCAGCAAATGGGGTGTACGCAGCCATGGTCCAGAGATAATCGGCGTTCGCCTCATATTGAATCATTTTGCACAGAATGCTGTCGTCCTTTAGGAGGCGGCCGAGAAGCCCAGAGGCCTGCGGCCAAGTGGCTGGCCATGGCGATGAATTGGATAGTCCTAGAGTAGGACATTGAGCCTTTAATGCCTGTTGCATTGGTGAATTGAGGCCGATGAAAACCGGAGTGCATAGGTTTGCCTCGAAGAGGTACTGGAAGGCGACCACCGGATTAGAGCCCCTCATCATTTTAAACAGCTCGATACCAATTCGATCGCGAGTGATTATCGTATCTAGTGCTTGCTGTACGTCCTTATCTCTCATAAAACGCATAGCTTGCGGGTCGATAGCAAAGCCGAGTTTACTACCAACACGAATAAGCCGCAGTACGCGTAGTGGATCGTCCATAAAGGTTTGGCGCGGGTCGAGAGGCGTCCTCATGATTTTCGCATCTAGATCTTCGAGGCCTCTGCCCGTGAGATCGACAACTTCCTGCTTCCCCAGATGAAAGAATAGAGAATTGATCGTAGCATCGCGTCGGAAAGCATCTTCCTCTGGGGTGCCAAACTCCATCTCAGGGGTCCGGCTGTGGCCGTCGTAGACCTCTTTGCGGAGATTTACTAAGTCGATATCCAGACCAAATAGTTTCCCGCCGGCCGTTTCTAGCTTCTTGGCCTTCTTATCGTTTCTTTCCATTATGTGGAACCTCGTGAATTTGGTATAGGGGATGCCCTGCGCAGCTGCTTTCTGGCGATAGTTGGCTTCAATCTCTGTTCTGGCAGACAGATCCTCTAGTAACTGGCCAAATCTCCTTCCCGTAACGTTGCTCAGTGCAAAATCGAGGTCTGAGGAAGGTATGCCGAGCAAGCGGTCACGAACCCAGCCACCCGTGATCCAGATCTCGAGGCCCGGGAAATGCTGTGCGCATTCGAGCAAGAGCTCACGCAGAAGCTGTTCGGCGGGGAGCAAATCAATTACCCTCCCTTTTGTCGCCATCGGCTCCTCTTGGACTGAGGTATGGGTTAGTTTGATATCGCAAGCGTAAAGGAGGAATCATACCTGAGTCGACCTTGATTCTCTTTGTCTGAGGCTCCATGGCGGTCGTCACGATGTCGGCGCAGTGAGACGATGATCATGATATGGGCCCGGGCGAAGAGGCCTCAATGAAGGTGGCCAAGCTGAGAGGAATGACGCAGTGAGGGTGGCCAAGCTGAGAAGAATGACTTGTGGCTCTTGGTAGGGTTTGGAAGGTAGTTGAGATTGTTGCTGCCGTTTGCTGAAACTGAATGATGGCAGAGGGCGGGGAGGGGGGACATTTCTTGCAAACAGAGGGCAGGACCGACGCCAGGGGTGCGCAGCCAAGCCAATTCACTGCGCAAATGTCACGAGACTGGCAGGAGATATAACAAGCCCTAATATCACTCCTACTTAGGGGTGCCCTTATTTTGGCCAAGTGGTGTTCAATGTGACAGCAAACCCTGGGCGCAACCCTAGCCCTTATTTATAGGGGCCAGCTATATAGGCTATAAGACTAGACCCCTTAGCTAAGGGCAGCCTATATATATATCTTCCTTTTTATAGTATCTTTAAGCTTTTTTCTATAAGTTTTAATAGCTCTTTAATGCTTACCTTTATAATAACTTACTTATACTAAGATTTATATAAAAAATATAGATATTAAAGCTATTATTGTCGCGAAGCGTGGCCTGATTTCGCAGTTCTCGGAGATATCCCTTAGCACGAGGGACCTAGGAAGCTAAAAACACCCGGTGTAGAAGAAGGAAGAAGGAGCTAAAAAGAGGTATAGAAAGGAGGGTAGGGGCATAAGGGGAAGCAGAAGTAGCGATAGCTTCCTATAGAGGTAGCGAAAGATAAGATAGATATACCGGCAACGGCTAGAAAAGAGAGGAAAAACCGGTAAAAAGCTCGGTAGTTAAAAGTATATTAGTAGCTTCTTTAAGTAGGATCTTCTTTATTAATTAAGATACTAGATAGGTATAAAGAGGGGCGTTAGATAGAGGAAAGAAGGATAATTAAGGTAATATAATAATTACTCCCTTACCTTTATTACTACTCCTATAAGAATTAAATCTCTCTACCTTACCTATCTAACCCCTTACTTTTAATTTTACCTTTATATATTTTATATATACTTCTTATATTTTTCTTTATAAGAGTTATAAGCCCGGGAGGAATAAAATTCCTATACCTTCTAGCTACTATAAAAAGCACCTTTCTTATATCCCTTATAGCTTCCTTTTACCCCTTTTATTAAAAAAGCCGATTTTTACCCGACTTATCTACCCTTCCTTATAATAATAACGAAAACTAACTCCTCTACTATCCCTATAGTCTATAGGACGATTCTTATAGAGCCCTAAGATTAGATAAGTAGGTAAAGGAGCTACGGGCTCGTATAGATAGAACTATTTATAATTTAGTCTTCTCTAATAAGCAGGACCCTCTTAAGCCCCTTCTTTATCCTAGGGCAACGGAGTTTATAAAGGGAGCTTCCCTCTTCTCTAAGCTAACCTCCGTATAGTAGAGAGCTTTTTCTACTACCTTAGGCGACTACGAGAGTTACTAAAAGGAGTACTTCTATAAGACGAAGCTACTAACTACTATACGCACGGCGATAATAGAATCCGTTAGTGCTATAAAGCTAATCTCTCTTTAAGAGAAAGAGACTCCTAGGTAGTAGCTTTTAAAGCTTAAGACCTTAATAGCTCCCTCGAGGGGCTATATAACTAACCGTATTAGGAAGACCTATACGGTATATCTAGGAGCCTTTTCTACTAGGAACTTATTAGCTTCTTTATAGCTAGCTAAGTAGGAAGAAATCCTTAAGGAAGCTAACTAATACTTCCTTATAAAAGCTCTTTCTAGCTAGTAGCTATAGGATATATCTCTACTAATAAAGCCTATTAGTAACGGTTACTCGACTATCTTTCGAGAAGCTAGCTAGGAACTAGATAAAGAGGCTACTAGAGTATAATAGTAAGTAGTCTTATTCCTTCGTAGCTAGCACTCGACCTAGACGGCTCGACCTGCTGCCCCTATAGCTCCTGCAGCCCTTATTGCTGCGGTTCCCGCTGCTGCTACTGCTATAGCTATTGCCCCTCCGGCTCTACCTCCCTCGAGAGCCTTAACACTGTCTTTAACGGCTGCCCTAGTCCTAGCCCTAGCTTCGTATCTTACTCTAGGCCCGGCCCCGGCCCCGTTAGTCCGTCCGGCCCGACTAGTCCCTTAATAGACCTTTTAGTCCGTTAGTCGAAAAATCAGGGAACTAGTTAAAATCGAACCTCGTTGAAATTAGTAATAAGGGGTAAAAAGGGGGGGTTTTTAAGTAGACCTTTTAGATCGGGACGAGGATTCCTTAAAAAAATAAAAGACTAGACGAAACGGCTACCTAGCCTATAAATTACTAGGCTATTAGTTATTATAATACTAGTAGGTCTTTAAGGAAAACCGACCTAAAGTATTTAACCTTTTAAAGAGGCTATAAGAAACGATATAATAGTCTCTTAAGGAGGACCCCTTATTATAAAAGAAGATAGATAAGATTTAGGTTACTAAGAAATAGTAACTAACGCCGCTACCCTTATTCGAGCCGTAAATTTAAGGAAAAATCGTTAGTATAGTAAATCCGGCCTTTATCTTCCCTATAGATTAATAAGGCTAAGACTAAATATTAGAGCCCTCCGATTATCCCCTACGAAAATCAGCTATCCTTAACTCTAGTACTTCCCTTAATATCTATAATATACTCTTATAATTCCGGTCCTTTAAAAAGGCATAGAGGGAATATCTTATTACTAGGGAATTAACCGTATAGATAGAGGGATATAGAAGGGTAAATTTTACGATAAAATTACTTAATAGGTCTATATAAATTCTTCGACGAAAAAGGGTAGCCTTTTACCCTTAATTTTTAACGAGCTTAATTTCCTTCTACCTTCTTCGAAAGGAAGGAATCTTCTAGGATATAACGTTTAAGCCTATAAGGCTAGTCTAGAAGAATTAAACTATTAGGCTTATTAAGGAGAAATTCGGTTAATTTATTCTCGAATTCCGACCTATCCTTAGGAAGGAACTAGTTAAGAAGTTAGCTTTCCTATTACGACTACGGCTACTAGGCCGCTAACGGTCGACCGCGTTAAGCACGTAATATAGTCTAACGGATAAATAGTCGGCACGACTATCTAATAAATATAGGATCGAGGGGATCGTAGAGATCTAAGTAATCTAGGATTAACGAGATTACTACGCTCTATATAATCTAACGTTAGGGATTATAGCTAGGCCTATAATCTAAGGATAGTCTCTATAGGTATATATAGCTACCTATTTTCACTCCTTTAGATAGATAGCTCTCTAGCTTTTAATATTATAATTATTACGATCTCTATTACGATCTTATCTTTAATTTAGGTTACTTAATTACCTAGTTATAGTCTATAGTCTACGACCTCCGACTTATTACTAACGTAATATACTTATTATTACTTAGATTACGCCCTATTATATCTACTAATATAAACCCCTCGATAGGTTTATCCCTTAGGAATAATACCGGATATTATATATTAAAAGCTCTTATTTAGTATAATACTGCGTTACTCTAAGTAATATCGTAACTATTAATATACCTATATAGTAAACTAGATTAACTAACTCTAGAGCTACTATATCGCCTTAGGATATAATATACGAGATTATTACCCTTTAATATAAGGTATAGTTACTTAGGAATAAAAGAGGCAACGGATAAGTTAGGGACCTTAGAGAAGTAGTTAAACTAAAATAGCTAGGACTATTCGACGGTACTTATAGTACGCTTTGAGACTTTCTTACCTAACTTAAAGCCTACTACCGGTTTTACCTTACTAAACTCTTAGACTTAGTTAAAAAGGTACTCTACGTAGGAAATTATTTATTTAGAACGGCACTTACTTAGTTTAGACCTATTATAAGGGATTTTCTCGATAACTAACTAGCGCGACGAGATAACGAGATAGACGAAGTCTTTACTAGTTTTTAAGGATTCGAAGAAGCTATTATAAAGGTATTTAGAATAACTAACGAGGAACGAGAAGCCGAATAAAAACTTTAAGAACTTTAATAAAGGATCTTAGTATCGGATTATACTATAAAGTTCTATTAAGTTACCTTAAAGCTTAATTAAGATAACGAACCTCTTATATTATAATTCTATAATAGGCTTAAAGAAGAAGTTAAGGACGAACTCTATAAGGAAAATCGACCTAATAACCTCTTAGACTATATTACTATAGTAGTACGAATCGACGATAGATAGTATACGCGACGCTAAGAAAAGAAATAAGAAAGAGGAAACTAAAACCCTTCCTATAAGAATAATTTTAACCGACGCGCTAATTATAAAAAAAAGCGCGAAACTCCTATTACCTATACCTATATAACTAACCTAGGTAGGATAAATCTAGATATAATATAGAAAAGTAAAAGAAAGTATTTTAACTATAGGAAACTTAGATATTACTTTAAAGAATATAGATAACCTTATAAGGAGAAGAAAACCTACTAAGTACTAGCCCTAGAAGGTAAGAAATACTTAAACGCTACTAATAAATAAGAACTAAAGTATAAACTCCTTAGTTAAACTATATACTATAACGATAAATATATAGTATACTTAAGCGATAAGAACGGTATTAGATAGTTCCTAAAGCTACTAAAGAAGACCCTTATAATAATATAATAAAGGGATCTTAAAATATAGAAATAAGTTAAATTTATAGAACTAAAATACCCTTATTTTAAAGGAGTCTCCTAAGACTAGATTAAGAAAAACGGTAAACGATTCTAGGAAGATATATAAAATAAAAATCGATAATAATAATAGGTAGTCTATAAATAATATAATAAAGAAGATAAGGATATAGCCCTTATACTTATAAAACTCGGATAATAACCTAAAGAGGAATAATAAAGTATCGACAATATAAGCTTTAAAGAATAAGAAATACCTAGAGAAACGGAAGATAAGAACGAACTTATACTACTACCCTTACTACTAAGGGAAAATACTACGATTAGAGAATACGCTTTATACTT